TCGTTTTTTCGGTGAATTTCCCACAATTTGAGCGCCGCGCAGCGTGGCACTGAGATCAGAACGTTCTCAATTGCGCCACTAATCGCCTTGTAATCGCGATGATGATAAGACAGAAAAACAGGAATGCGTCGAGGCAAAAAGATCCGTAAACAGTGGATAATTTCAATAGTGAACAATTAACATTAAACTGCTAATTAATAATTATTTCTCTATGGCTCACGTTGCGCTTCATTAGAGGTGAAATTTTTTCCACCTTGCCGTGTCCACCCAATCTTGGCCGCGGTAATCTTGCGCGCAGTGCAGAATTGGAACAATCAACATTGAACTGCTCATGGGCTAAGTTTAAGGTCAAAATCGTAAAATGGCAATTACTCTTCAAGTACACACGGGCTGTTAAGACAAAGAAAGACGATTGAGGATCTATTTCAAACAGTCTGTGGAGAATTACACAGTATGATTGACCATCATTCTGCGCATATAATTTATAGCTACCTCTTCTGCATTTCACAGCGATGGAACCTATATTCACGAGACGGCTTCATTCACCATCAATCCTGATGCACGCTAAATGGTCATGTGCAAGACATCTCGCGGGGCGTATAAATCACAAAATGACAGCGTCTGGCATTTTCAATTCCCATGTTAAAGCGAATAATTTCGCCATTTTTCGCACTGAGGTGGAATAATTCATGGATCTCCGTCGAATATGCGAATAATTTCAGTTTATTCTAAATTTATTTGCATTATTATTCGCTGGATAAGTCCAATTCATGAATACATGAGAGGAGGAATTTAAGAACTCTATCATTGCATTAACTTTATAATGTTCCCATCGTACTATAAATTTGGAATAATATCGCGGTTGCATTTGAAGCAAATTCAGTTGAATTTTCAACGAACTACAAGAAGTGAGTTCAATCTCGAAGAGGGCGGTCGATGAGCTCATATTATTATTATTTATGGACAGAATTGACATATTCTCTTTGACTTTGCCTCCTCCGATGGCAGTTGTCCACCCCCTGAGATATCTCAGTCCCTCATATGCAAGAACATGGAGGAATAATTAAATACAGCTCGCAAGAATAATAATCGTGTAACAGCAGCAAAACAGCACTTGGTGAAAAATATGCCTCCTTCTGGTGTCGGCGATGGGTTCATTGAGCTTTCTTTTTATTTCCCAAGACATCTCATCATCACGAGACACCTTTTTCCGCCATAAATAGTCGACCACATAGTCTTTTTCATTGGTAAATATGAATGGCAAATGAATTCCCCGCAGAAAGTCAAACATTCCAAGTCTTGTGTCAATGGTCTGACCATCATCATCGGGGAAAAGCTATTGGTGTTGATTTTGGTGAAGAAGAAATTGCATTTACTCAATGGCATATCGCATATGGCTTTTTGCTTTCTTGTGCGGCGCCTCCGAGGAGGCCGAACTGATTCTGAATCCACTGATGGACGCGGCAAAAAAGAGTCCCACGCGCAGACGGAAGACAAACATTGCTTTCAGATCTTTCAGTCCCTCCGATTGACCTCGTGATTCAAAAGTCAGACGTTAATAACCCCTTTTTCGCCATCACGACATGGGTTTTTGTCCGTTTGCCTGAGATATCACTTTTCTTTCTAAGAAGTGACTTCTGGGATGTCGCAGCGAAACCACTTTTCGGCAATTACCCTTTACGCGCTTTTATGCGGAACATTAACTCGCCGTGGCTCTTTTTTGCTTCATCTGCACACAATTATTTTAATAACATTCTCCTATGGGGACATGGGGCTCCCGATGACACACAAGAGAGTCATTTGATGGGCGCGCGAGCAGCGAGATGGAGAATTGAGGAGACTTGCAAATCTGACAAAGATGAGAATTTCTGGGAATCTCACGCAACTGTAATTAACAAACGGTCATTCATTTTAAAGATACTCACTCTTGAGCATCTCCTTTTTCATCATCCACTCCCGCTGCCATCCACATCAGCTCAATCGTGCCACTCTGCGCCAATGAGAGCAACAGCGAGAGATCAGGCACAGAGTAAATTGTTAGAAATTAAAAAGACATGTTCTGCGTTGAATACTTCCTCTCGTGTACAACTCAATTGATCGTCTCCTTGGCGGACGATGGCAAGTGGAGTGCACCGGAGAAGATGATCGTTTAGCAAATTGTTTCATGATTTATTAATAATGCTGGCTGTGTCACAGAATTGGGTCAATCTCGTGCAGCTGAGAGGACAACTCACATGAGATTGCATGATCGGATGAGCTAAATGATCTAGTCGGAGATTCTTCCACCGAATATGGATCTCTGGGTCTCAGCGCAGAATTGGACATAAACAGCTCAATATACGAGCAATGAATGAAGTTCCCATCCATAGCAAATGAAATTCTTTCACTCATTTACTGTAAAACTCGATGCCATTAAGGGTGCAAGAACGGTTCTGTGTGGACTTATTTAGCCAGCAATTGGATGTGGCAATTGTGGGATATCATATCGCATGTCATAAAAATAGTCTATGCAAACTTATGAGATCGCAAGATGGAATGTATGTGTGTAGATGAAAGGCTGCAGATATTCCCAGAAGCTTATTTTCATCTCCTAACTTGGTGGATAATAATCGAACAAGTATTTTTCAATTATCTGGATGAGTGATTTCTCTATTTTATCGGATGTACGAGCGCGAGAAAGTACAACATTTCACGCTGTAATAACGCGTCTTTTAATAAAATCTTTATAGCCGTTTTGGGAGGAATTTCAATCAAGCGTCTGAGTGTCACACGGTGCTCGCCAATTAGTCCCCAAACTATGCTCCCAATTATACCGCAGTGCTCTTGCAGGCGAATGGAGGTGCACAAGAGTTGTGGACTTCCCCATGGTTGGCTGAGCGAGTGGCGGAGAATGAAACTGACCTCACATAAATTTGCCAGTGTGAGGAGATTTCGTGGAAAAATTCATGACTACATTAAGCGCACTCGAGATGCAATTGAAAGGGATTCCCGCGCAAATCAAGAGTCTCAATATTGGAGTGTCTGTGATACCGATATGGGACTGCTGGCGCGGCTCATAACTCCCTTGAATGGCCTGATGATTTATGTTTGAGAAGAGGGAAGGAGTTTCTCAGCAACACCCAACAGCTTATATCCCACAATTGTTGGAGTCGGGAAGATATTGATGTTCCCCTGGACTCCATCCTCGATATATAATTGAAATTCCTCTCACGGCGACCTGCACACAGTTCGGACTCTTTTTCTGGACATTCAGCTGCTCAGATGCTACGGAGCAGTTTGAGATTCAGAGATATTGATTTTTCCCTGTCTAAAAATATGACTTGAACTCTTAAACAACAGTTATAAAATCAAGTTCCATGTTTATCCATATTCCGTATGGAGGTTCTACCACGACATGACTAGGTATACATGTGAGAGATGAGAAGGAATGGCTGATTAAATCGCATCTGTTTGAAGGCTGCGCAAGAACATATAAAATACGCACGCTTTTTCCCCAACTACACATGCGGATGGCTCTCTCCCAATTTTTCGACCATCTCCTGCACCGCAGATACAGTCAGAGTGCCATAATTAATTGCCCACTGAGAGTCCTAACTCTTCACCTGTGCCCACACGGCCAGCCCTCCATGGTGTCGCTTTTTATCTCACCTTCCGACCATCGGTGACCATTTATCACGCCATTGAGATTAAGTCAGAATTGACTCAAAATATTTTTAGTGGATTATTATCACTATAATCACCACTAACTGCACGGTGTGACCATGTAATTATGACGGAGAGCCTCATCAACACTCTGGTAAACACGCATTCCCCCGTTGATGTCTTTCCCGTTATCACGCATTGATCTGTTCCGTGGTTTTCTTCTGCTTTACCAACTTCTCGACCACGCACAGATGACATGCCGAGTGGGGGAAACACAGAGGGTACGTGGAGATGCAGTTTCCGATTCCCCAACACCCACTTTCTCTCTGCCTCGCGAGGCGGGAAAACCCAGTGATCTCACGGGCAGATTAGATTTCCTCAAATTCCACGTGCATCAGAGAATCTAAGAATAACACGCCTAATCAATTCAGATATTTCTGTGAAAGCGCGTAAAGTCCAATCGATCAAGTTGGCGCCCAGCGATAGAGACATTGCCCTGAGGACGCCACCTTTCTCTTGTGGGAGCCCACTGAGTGCCACATAGTTTGGCGTAGCGAAGTAGATCAGCCGATAAAGTGAATATATTCGAAACTGTAAAGCAATTATGTAGGCGCCCGGCTATTTTTAGACCCGTCCCCCCGTCATTTTGATAAAACTGTAAAAGCCCGTTTATCTCATCAATTTCTTTGAGGCTGTCGGGTGTCATGAGCACCGCAAGGCCGTTGAAAATTGAAATTCTCTCCTCCTCGCGATGCCAAGTTCAATGGCTAGTGCGACTAAATTGGGTCAATCTAAACAATTTCAACACACTCGCATGTCGGCAATTAAGTCACTTTAAATACGCATAATTAACAAATCAACTCGACAGATCCACTTGTGACACCTCAGAAGTGGATCATTGATATTTTTCTGCGCTGATCTTCTATGAATGGACTCGCAAGGTGGGTTTTTTCTTGCGTCACAGAGTAACTAGTGATGCCGCTCGATCGGGTTCGTCGTCTGCTGATTGGAATCTTTCGTTCATTGAGAGCCTCTAAGCGACAACTAAGTAAGTCGAATGAGGCTCTGTGGTGTATATTTTTTGCTGAGAGAAGGATCAGATCACTTTAGGCAGTGATCTATTTTGAGACTTTTTCCTCGTCAGGGAGAACTTTTGGCCAGAAGAGAGATGATTTCTTAGTGCCGCGAGGCGAAGATCACTTGGGAAATACCGAAAATAGAGAGATTAAGAGCAAACATAACTCATCGAGATTCTCGCTGACCTAAATGAGACCAATGAGATGACTTGAAGAATTTGACACCTATTCGCACAGTGACTAATCTATGCCCTCTTCTTCTTCTGCTTTCAGGCGAGAGACGTCAACGATGAGGAGACCCCATTCGAGCCCTCTGGGGCTCGAATTGACCACCCTCCTAGTGATGATCACGCTCGTGGGAGTGTGCTTATCAGGTGAGTCGCCAAATGTGCCACGCTGTGGAATTTCACGCAACACCTCAAACCGATTAATCCCAAGAGAGTGCTGCAAATGACCTAAGCACATTTTCTTGTCCATTTAGATTGGGTGAGAGGAGGTCCAGTGTGGGGAAAAAAGTTATCCTAAATTTATTCACCGTTAATCTGTACTCCGCCTTATTTCTTTGGATGTTTGCTCACTCGGAACAAGAAGTGAAACACACTTAGAACAATTATGCATGAAGAAACTCAATGGATTCCAGCAGGTTCTTCATTTAACGTCACATCAGGCATTTCTCTTCGCCTCCTCACATGCGCACTTTTCGGACCCCAATATTTACGATTCACACACGCACGGCGGATGGAAAAAATGCACTTTGTGAATATATCCCATAACATACAATTAAATCACGGGGCGATTAAAAATTATATACCTCGTGCTCGCAGCACTTAAGTTGTGCGCTGCAGAAGTGAAATGAAAAGTTTTTACGGCAAGCTACCCAGGGAGTTCCCGCGGGAGAAATTTTATAGGCTTTTTGCCTCTTCCCGTTCTCTTTCTCTCTCTCTCGGTGCCGAAAATTTCTCGCACGTCGATGGGAAATGATGAAGAAATTACCGATGGAGGCCCGGGCAAAAAGCCCACTTGACTGGACGCACAGGCATAAGACGCGCAAGGTTGGAGGCATAGAGAAGGTTCCGTTCCTCCGTATATACTTAATAATCAAATTTCATCCGATTGAAGTTTATGTCCAAAAAATCAATTTATTCCCGCGGAGGGCATTGCTCTCGGTACGCTGTCGGCCAATCGCTCTGATGGCTCCAATTAGCATTTTTGGATTAAAGCAATTCCTCAAGAGAGCGAGTGAGAAGCGCGAATGCACAAACTCGGGCGATTGCGTGCAGGTGAGAATGTTCAACAAGTGTCTCTTCGTGACTCCACGAAATTGACCCTCTGTATCCTATTAATCTTATCTAAATGACCAAATTGCATTTGCATAAATTTGTCCCCTTCGTCGCCTTATCTCACTCAGATGTCCATCGCGATATATCAAAGGGGAATTGAAATGCCAAATTAATTATCCATACTTAAGAGGTCATCAAACACATTTCTCCTAATGGATGGAACATTATGAGCCACTACTGAAAGCTCTGAATGCAAATTTTATAATAGAAAAGAAATGTCTTGAGAATCGCGACAACCGAGTTGCTTGAAAAACTTCTTTTCACGAGACATTTAATTAAAGAAACAAGTACTAATGTTCTCCCCTAAATTTTACACAAAAGTAGCCCGGAAGCTTGCGATAGAAGCAATCTATTTCCAATCGTAGTGTCGCAGAGTTGGCAGAAAATCGCCTCAAGCCCACCAAAAGTGTTGTTCCTCAGGAATGTGAGACGAACGGAGCGTGATTAAAAGTTCGTTGTTTCAGGCAAAAATGGGGTTTTTGACACCCAAAACACCGCAATAATTATGTAATTTTGCTCAATTGTCGGATCATTTTTGCGCACGAGGCGTACAAAAAAGATGCCCGAAAATCTTTCTCCGCGTGCTTTTTTGCTCTCACCTGCCATGGCACCTTTGCGCGGGGCGGCAAAAGCAATAGCACATTCACTGTCAGCATCACAAGAATATGTGGTGGCCTTTCCAAGTTCATGGCTACGCCAGCGAGTCACATACGATGGAAATCGCACACAAGAAATTACCTCTCTCTCTCTCTCCGCCATGGCATTACTTCACATGCAAAGAAAATGATTTCACAGTGTGAGAATCGCGAGAGGAAGGTGAAAAAATGCGTGCAATTTATGGGAATTAGTGTCTGGTGTATTTGAAATCTCAATACATGACTATGTTGCCGTGCCATGTTCGCCTCTCGCGCCGATACATAAGTATAAAACATTCATAAGCTGCATTATATAAACACATTAAAATTTTCCCTCATATCTCCCTGAGAGTGCTCTCACTCTTATTATAGCTGCAATAGCTAGTGTTTGTTGGGTGGAACAATTTGTATTTGAAGTCACGAAAGCGAAATTCAATCGCGCGCGATTCCTCACCAGTTGCATTGGAGGCTTCTAAGAGTCAGGCTCCTCTGCGGTCGTGACTCGAGATTTAGTTAACAAATCCAAAAGACGACAGATGGTAATTGCTTTACTGTTTGGCTCACTCCTTGGCCACAGAATGCCGTACATATAATTTTATTCATTGAATTTGCACCATTGCCATCACCGTGGCCTCATGTTTGCCATACAAGCCCATCTGAGAGGCATCTTGGCCAGGACATGAGGAAGCCATGAAAGGGGTGGATAAGTCAGACTGGCGGTAGCTGCACGGTATCCACCCAGAGCTCACCTTCGCGGGGCAATTACACTTAAAATGTTAATAGGCGCAGTCCAGTTATGTTCATTGAAAGTTTTTCTTCTCTTTTCACTGAATTACACGTCTGCGAGCATGTACAAGTCATTCAATAGCATTCAAGTGTTTCTCAAGTGATGTTATGACACTGTGTTTATTTTTTAAAATCTTTGTTATGCCATAAACTCACAAGAGACTCATATGAATTAGTAATTTATTGTACTGTAATTTTGAAAGCGCATTCTGCAAAATCGTTACTTTTGAAAATTCAATTTTGCGCGCAGAATGGAAATATTCCTCAGTTTACAGCCCTCTAGCATAGAATATTCTATACTTGAGGAGGAATATTCCGCATATATTTTGTTGTTCTTTTGGAGCGACAACATCCTATTGACTTGTACGACTTTTCGCAAACAATGCGTAATGTTCCAATTTTGGAGTTGATTTTGATCGCCAAGCAGACAAGTGGGCAGTCCTGGGAGAGTTTATCTATCGTGAAAATGTTCAATCTCATGCCATATTATTGTTGCCCTTTTGTCATAATTCAAGTGCAGTGTAATTACCATTTTTCCGTCATTGTCGTCAGTTTTACGACATCATTGTCATTGTCATTATCATGTATTCTCATTGCTGGCCTTCCGTGGCTTCTGGTGAGATCCTCGGTGGCATCGCAATTGCGGATCAATGCTGGGCGGGCGGACGGAGATGGAAAATTGCACAAATTGAAATGCACATGGAAAATAATAAAATTTAATTATTTATTGAAGCTCCCTGTGTTTGTATTCTGCACTCGTGGCTGTATTACTATGAAGATTATGCAATTTGCCATGTCTCGTGAGGAAGTGGCGAGGCAAGAGAAGGGCAGCGGCTCAAATTGATCTGGGAAGAGCTGTCTCTGTGTTGGTGGTGGAGAAGAAAAGACAAATAGGGGGTCACTCAACTTGGCGCAGAGATCCCGCATCTCTGCGCTAAGATCGAGAATAAAAAATCCACCATATACAACAACACGAAATCCGATCGAAACAGGTTCATTTTTCTGCAAAATCACTATAATTCTCTCTTTCACTCCGCCAGCATAGCACCCATGCTCCTATGCTCAATATTGTTCTCCACATCAACTTCAATAATTCCCACGCTTCATGTGTTGCTGCTCTTATACAATAAATTCCCCCGGCAATGATCAAGTGATACAACTTTATTTTCAAAGTCAGTGTCAAAGGTGCCATTGGCACTCTTGGCACGTACCGAAAAAAGAACGATTAAAAATTGCTTTTTAATATATTTATTGCGCAATTCACTGACGTGCACAAAAACCCGCGACACCGACAGTTATACGAATAAATTTTATTTCATACCATTATGATCATTTATAGAGCAGTAAAGAGAACGACAAATTGCCCGTGCATTGATTGCTTATGCGGAGAGACTTTATTAATAGGTTTATTGGGCATAATTTTCTCAACGTACATTCAGAGAAATGAGCGTCTTCCTATTGAGATGTATGGTGAACTATAATAGTCGTCCGGATGGGTGAAAAAGATTGTCTATGCAACTAATATGAAACTCTATTATGGCAAAATTAATATGGACAGTTCCGATAAATTTTGCAGTCCCCGCGTTGAAATATACCAGCGCACACTCCATAAAAGAAGTCATCGTGTGTGAGAAGAATCACCTCGCCACATCTCATTAACATATCCGACACAGAACCGGGATAAAATGGCAATAAATATCCATTATTTGACACTTAACTAGTGCAGAAGTGACTCGCAGAAAATGCGCTCTATAATTTACTCAAGCATTTGCAGAAGAAATAATGAAAGATGTGTCGGCGTGTAAATCGTTGCGTGAAATTTTACGGGAGTCCTTGTAGTTTTTTTCTCCCTGTTCTGCAATGGACGCGCGCGCGAATCCGTGTGTGCAGTGTGTTTCTGTATGAAGGATGCTTCACGGTGATGCCTTCCGTAAATCACTCAGTCACACCGGTCGCCGATGATCATTGACCAGTGGAAGTGTGTGTACAACTCTGAAATAATCGTGAAATTGACACTGATTTTTATTTATGAATGGACAAGAGGGAATCACTTTACGATCAGTCGGCAAATGGAATAAATTATACGAAGGTGTGTCCACAGACGCTGTGAGCAATTTGTTAGTCCTAATAATAACTTTATAGCACTTATTCGCATATAATTACTCTTGTAAAAATACCGGCACGTCGCTCAGATCCTAATCAAAGTGGAAAAAATTCAGATGGGACTACCGTGAAACGTGGTTTAGCAGGTGGATTCAGCCCAAAGAGTGTATCAAATGGTGACACTCGGCATTAGCGACACTTTTATTAAAGTCGTTCTGCCTCAACTGTACCAGACACACATCGATTGCCTTTCCCCTTGAGCAATTCGCCTTTTTTCTCACTCAATATTGCCAAATATTTTGGCAGCAGATGTGACTTCAATTAAACGATAGTCTCTTCCATTCACAGCAGAGGCATATTAATATTTCTCGGGCCCTTTCTTTGCTCTCTGACATCCGTGGCTCTCGATTGAGGCCAGCCTCGCCATTGTCACGGGCACAGCCCAGTGATGAGGAAGAGAAGAGCGTTCAATTGAAAAATTGTGCATCATTTTGTCTACAAGGAGAGGGAAGCCATCAAGACACATTCTTGTTCGCTTTGTTGCTAATCTCATGGCAATGCGATAGATTTATCTAACTCGATGCAGCGTAGATTTTCGCCTCCGTGGTCACGGGCAAAGAGACTCGGGGAGATCCTCTGTGGGTTTTGCAGTTGATTTGCATACGTGATAAATTAGAAGAGGTCACAGTCTCAATTCATCAAGCAGCTGAGTTGCAAAACGCCACGCATTGGCCTTCCTTGTACGGCTTAGAACCATTAAATCCTCTGCTAGTCCCTCGTGATTAAAAGAGATGAAGAGTACCTTCGTGTCTAGACTTTCAATCGCTTACTTTTTACCCACTTACCCGTTGATTGATGAGAAATTGCATGAATGATTGAAGAAATGTCATATGTCACCCACGGATCATGCGTTTCAATTTATCGCTCTTTAATCAGCCTTTCGTGGTTGGAATCGTTCTTGCACAGTTGAGGTTTAAAAGCTGTATACTTTGTACGCGAGACACTTAAATTAATTGGACAATTCCCCTTTCTTTCGCTTCGTTCTCATGATCCAAATCATCATAGAATTCGCAATCAGAAAAAAAGTTGCAACTCATGAAAAACTACTCGTATGACTCACACTTCACTTGTCGATTATGATTGTTGTTGTTAGTTAATGCTGAGGAAACAGGTTGATGCTTATGACAAAAACCCGTTGATGTGTTCGCCCCATTGAAGATGAGCGATGGCTTGATAATCTCTCGGTGAGATTAATTAATCATTCCCATTCTAATCAGACAGCAAACTCTTCCTCAAATCTCATCACCTGCTGATTGTCTCATCATCCCATTGTTTAGCTGCGCCTTCCGATCGGGAAGCTTTTAGGTGATTCTTGAGTGTGTGCTTTCTTCTACTGAGAAACGTGCCAATAAAAATTTCCTCGGCATAAGCAATGACACAGAAAATGAATTAAGCAGAGTCATTTTGTGGATCTGAGAACTCTCAGAAATGCTTTCAAATTACCATTTTTCGCCGATGGACTCTGCATGTTCCCCAACGAGATAGTCTATTTAGGTATTGTGATGTCTTCCCAGTGATATCACATTCCAAAAATTCTCACTCCGGTCAACAAGAGAATCGTATTAAAATTGAATTTGAACGATGACACTAATTGCTCTGTCTAATTTCTCTCTGTCTTTTCAGCTCCCGTGCACGAGAACACGGAACTGGAGACGTATAGTGGTGAGTATGATATTATCCATTCTAACTCCAATATGATCACCGTGAACATGATTACATCGTCACTTGGATGAGCAAGAATGCCTCTCTTTTTTTCTCTCCCTCCGCCACAAATGGCAAAGAATGCAATGGCAAAGTCTCTGGGCAGGGTGGGAAAGAGAATCTTGAGGGATTCCTATTGTTGCATTGTGGCATAAGGTGTGTTTGTTTACTTCATCTATGAAAGTACAGAAATTATTAACGGTTTTCCCTTTTAACAATACACTTAATTATTCCTTCGCGTCTCCGAGACGACCATACCAGGTAATGGGCGATGAGGAATAAATTACTTTATAAATTAATTAAAACTATTTACCGCCAAATTGCTAAGATTCTCCCTTTTTATGTTCTCTCTTTAGTTATTCCACTCGTGAAACCATTCTTGTTTCTTGTCTGTGAAATTCTGAGAGCAAAAAGTACTGATAAGGCATGGGAACTTTACGGACAGTTGGGATTCGCTAGCACACACAAAATTGTTGTATACAATTGTGAATGTTTTTACAGGAAATCATTGACTATAAATTTTTCATATAGTGAATCTTGTTTTATATAATTAGAATATGTTTCAATTTTTCGATAATATCAAAAGTCACACAAGCTCATGCTGTTTGCTTGGTTGTTTGCAATATCTGTGACCACACGAAAAGGAGGCTCACCATTAAATCTCCACTAACAGTGATACATAGAAGAGAAGAATTTAGCTGCCTGATTGCGGAATGATAAAAAGAATGCTTCAACCTTCGGGCTAGTGGTGGCCAAAAAAGCGAGGATACAAAACCGAAAATTACATAATTACCATCGCAACTTACTCATCTCAGTTGATTGCGGAAATAAGTGTGGCGCTTGTGTGACTGTTGTCCAGACGCTGTCCGAGCCACATGTATCCGGGGCTGATGTAATCATTCTCTAATTAATCTGTGTGATCCTCTTTGATCAGCCAAGTGCGCCCGAGAGCCACTGAGTGAGATAAACTGTCTCAAATGGGGTAATAAAATCATCATTCACACTTTGAAGCTGCATCACCATCAAATGAAATGGAACTGATTTTGAGATGGGGCAATTTGTAACCAAGCACGAAGGCGAGAGATTGCCGGTACAAAAGAAAGCATTCACATCGTTTTCAGCTTCAGTATAATTGAGTGTCATTAGGAGCATGCAACAGTCTTCATTGTGGATGAATTAATGGCGAATTGTTTCAAGAATAGAGTATGTGAAAGAAGTCTCCTTACTGACTTCTTCTTCGCCTCCGCACGTCAAGAAGCTTTCTTCTCTTCCGCGCGATGAGCAATTTCACTTGAGAAATTCCCTCTGCAAACTGTACCCAATTCTATGCCATTTATGCTTAAGCATTTGCTCAAATGATGAGAAAGAATCTCCAGCTACTTTTGCTGCGCCTCGAGTCTCCCAATATATCCGAGGAAAATCGTGCAACTCGCCACAGCAATAAATTCCCGGAAATCGGTGCTAAGATGAATAATGTGCATCATGAAAATCACTTTACTCAACGATTTATGAATGCTGCCTTTTGCTGTGATCTTCTATGATTTCTCTGTACCACATACTTATCCCATATATTCTGGCATTGTCCCAATTCTTGCCACAGTTCCCCAGTAATCTGAGAAGAAATTGAGGAGAGATCTTCAATGCGATGATCCTAATTGTTCACGAAGTGATCATATCTCGTTGATTGACTTACTATCAGATAGTGTAATTAATTTATTGATTGATCATTGCAGAATCTGGCTGCTACTACAACTACCATCAGTACTCGGAGGGTGATAGGATAATGACGAACGAGCCATGTCTCAACTGTACTTGCCACAATAGGATGTTGATGTGCTACTTGCGTGTCTGTCCATTCACGAAGCCCATCGGTCAGGATTGCGTGGTGGAGAAACGTGAAGATCAGTGCTGTCCTGTCATTACGTGTCCCGAAGGTAAATCACTATTTCTCACCTGCGATTCATCTTCATCTAATGCTAACATCACCTTCTCTCTCACCCACAGTTCCTGTCGAGCTCGTTGATCATGCCACATCGAGTCCGTCAACAGATGTGGGAGGCCTCGATCGCTTTGGCTGTTCTATTGATAATAGGTTCTACCCAGAAGGTGCTCAAGTGCCATCGAATCCTCGCAAGCCGTGTGAACTTTGCTATTGCATTCGCAACATGACTGCGTGTGTTATGCAAGAATGTACGCTACACGTTGAGGGTTGTCGACCTATCTACAACAAAGGAGTCTGCTGTCCCGTTCGTTACGAATGCGGTAATTCTTTACCCTCAGTTAATGAGACGAATTCCTCAATTTTATTGATTTTTTTTCCGGCAGATCATGAAGCGGAAGATGATACTCTTATGCTGGAAGACAAAACGACAACAACTGAGCGCCCAACGCCAGGATTCATGCTCACTACGACCACACCACCTGGAGTTGAGGCGGATTGTGTTCACGATGGCGAAGTCTTTGCGGATGGGGCTCTCATTTTCACTGACCAGCCATGTGAGCACTGCTACTGTATGCGAGGCGATATTGTATGCGCCGTGCAAGAATGTGGAACACCGCTGGAGAATGAGGGCAAGAACTGTACAGCACGTCCACCGCGTGAGGGTCAATGTTGTCCGGATGTGTATGACTGTGAAGAATCCAAAACGGAGGAACCGGAGAGTGCTACTCGAAAGGAGGAGATGGAAGCTACAACCCTGGGAACAGGACTCGATACTCGTATTGATGAGGATGAAGAGTTTGATACACATGACCAGAAGACCCCCATGCCAGAGGAGAAGGAGCCAATGACCACAATGTCGTCTGACAAAGTGGATGATAAGTTTAATGAAATAATGCCGGAGGAGAAACCTGAAATCGAAGAGGCTCACACCGAGACGGCAACAACGCTGACTCATGAAGCCACAACTGAGCCCATCAAAGAGGCTGAAGAAGATTTGCAACAGCACATCATAGATGAAGATTTGCAATCTCATATTGACAAAGAAGAGGAGGAGGGTCCGGCCACAGTTAAAGAGACAATCTCCACTACAGAGAAACTGAAACCGACAACAATCATTACAGAGAGTGAGTCGTCAGAAAAACCAGAAGAGGGTCACGAAGAAGATGAGGTGATGGCCACTGAAGAACCGTTGAAAGCAACTGAATCACCAGAAGAGGCAAGCATTTCTCCAGAAATGCATGGCGAATTGACAACAATTGCCGGAGAGGGTGTTCCGACGACAGAGAAGGCTGGTGCTCTTGACACAAAATCTGGTGAAATTGAGGAGACTGAAGATGACAATACTGTTGAGCCAGATCAATTCACATCTACACATCACCCACCAGCAGAATATTTGCCGCCACAGAAGCCAGTAGAGCACGACGAAGAGGAATCTAGTGAATCATCTAGTGAATCCACTGAATTAACACCATCTGAAGAAGAGGGACAAGTGCCTATCCGCCCTGAGACGCCAGCCCCAGACCATGAGCCTAGTGAAGAGGAAACGTCTGAAGAGGTGACATCATCCGAGGAGGAGGCTGAGAAACCAAGTCCCGAAACGCCACTTGAAGAGCCATCCTCAACTACTCCTGGTCATGATGATCTTGAACTGCCGGAGAGAGAAATTGTTACAGAATCTCCAGATATGATCAAGATTCCCGAACCGGTGGAGCATGAGCAAGTTACTGAATACAGTATTGATTCTGGCTCTCATACGCTTGAAGAAGTCACTACAAAGGCAGGTCCTGAAGAGAAATTACCTGAAGAGGCCACCGAAAAAGCTACTGAGGCGCCTGAAGAGGAACCCAAACCTACTATCAAGATTGAAGAGGAGAAACCCGAAATTATGCAAGTCACAACAGAGCATAAGGAGCTGGAAGAGAAACCTGGAGTCACTTTCTTACCTGAGGATGAAGAGGAGGAAGAGAAACCACATCTTGAAGGGTCAGGAGAGTTCGACGAGCCCGAGAAAGAAGAGCCTGAAGTGCATACGGAAGGCCCGAAGACTCCCAAACCAGAAGAATCTGAGGAACCTGAACTGGAATCTACAGAACAACCTGAAGAAACTCCCATTGGTCTGCCCGAAGAAGAACACACTGAAGAACCCAAGACTCCAGGTCATGACGAATCCGAGGCACCTGCTACTGTTGCACCTGCTGTTGAGGCACCTTCCACTGAGGCGCCATCCACTGAGGCATCTGAAGAGTCTATTACTGATGAACCCAGCAAGGAAGAATCAGAAGAAGCTGAGAAACCAGAGGAGCCAGAACAACCCGAAAAACCCCTCGCTACCACCATCGCTCCTGAGAAAGAAGAAGAAGAAATCATCACACCAACATCACCCTCAATCAAGGAAAGTGAAGAAAAGGAGCCAGAAGAGGAATCTACTGAAGAAGAGCTGGCTACTCCGACACCAACCGCTGAACTGTTGCCTCCATCAATTCCCGGTGAAGGGAACTGTCTGGTGGATGGTATTAGTTATCCTAACAATGAAATTATTCCTGCCGTCAACAAATGTCAGCTCTTTTGTACCTGCGTCAACAGTGTGGTTCATTGCGAAACTGTGAAGTGTCCACCACCCCCAGAAAACTATGTCGAGTGCCAACCTTTCTATAGAAATTTCGATGAGTGCTGCCCCAACTACAAGTGTCCTCAGGACTTGGAGACATCATCTGAGGAATCTTCTGAAGAGCAACATACCAGGGCTCCTACAACAACTGAGCGTGCTGAAGAAGCTTCAGAGATTCCAGCAATTGTTGAGGAAATCAGTCCTGATGAGGTCCCAGCTGTTATTGAGGAATTCAAACCAGAAGTTACTACAGCAATGGAGGAGGCCGAGGTAACTGAGATTACACTGACACCCATTGAGAAGGAAGAAGAACCTAGTAAACCATCTGAAGAAGAAAAACCTGAGAGTGAAGAGGAGGAGGAGGAAGAAGTAGAAGCAACAACAAGGGCTGCTCCAGATGATGGTGAAGGCGAATTGATAAGTCCAGAAATTCTTCAATCCTACACCGATGAGTATGGACCCGAACCGACTACTCACAGACCTCAAGAAATTGAGCTTCCTAGTCATATTCCTGAGAAACCTGAAGGAGAAGAAACTGAAGCAGAAACGGGTGCACCTGGTACTGAAAGTCAACCTGAAGTTCCAGAGAAATCAAGTGAAGAGGAGGAAGAACGCCCTGAACTTATACATATTTCAACCCTTCAACCTGAAGATTACACAGAGAAGCCAGAAGAGGAAGAAATGAAACCTGAGGAAGAAGCCAAGCCTGAAGAAGAGCTTAAACCTGAAGCAGAAACATCACGCCCAGACACAGTTACTGAAGCTGAAGAGGAAGTCACTGAGAAGGAAGAATTGCCGTCTGAAGCACCAATTGCAATTACTGAAAAGCAAGAAAAGCCCACAGAACGTCCAGAAGAAATTCCTGAACAGAGCGAAGAGGAAGAAGAGCAAACTGAAGGAGGACATGTTGAAATTATAACTCCATCTGCTACAGAATTGCCAAAGGAAACACCAGAACCTTCAATGGAAGAGGAGAAAACAGGCCGCCCTGAAGAAACTGAAATGCCAGAAGGCCCAGCTCCGACTGAAGAATCAGACAAAGGAGAACAAACAACAGCTGCATCATCAACTGAAAAGGCTCCTGAAGAGGATATTGGCATCTTGTTCCCAGAAGAAGAAGAGAAACCCGAGACTGTAACTTTAGATGTTCGCGGAGGAGAAGATGAAGAGACTACAGCAAAGGCTCCGGAAGAAGAAAAGGCTCCGGAAGAAGAAAAGGCTCCAGAAGAAGAAAAGGCTCCTGAGGGCGTCCCTGCTAGCACGCCACATGAGAAGGAAACCGAAGATAAGACAGAATCCCTTCCACCAGTGCCCACAATTCATACCGAAATTGAGGGTGAAATTACCAAGAAACCTGAAGTTGAAGAACAAACCAGTGCTCCCGAAGTTGAAGCAGAGAGCCCAACGGAATCATCACTTGAAAAAGAAACTGCTAAGCCTCATTTGCCAGAAGATGAAGTAATTTATGCCACAGACAAACTGGAAGTAGCAGAGCAAGTGACAGAAAAAGAGCAACCTACTCCAGCTCCCACTCCATCTGAAACTGCTAAACCTGATGCTGCTATTACAGAAAAGGAGGACCTGCCTGAAGAAGAACCCACCAAGCCTTCTATTGTAGCGCAGCCTTCAGATGAAAAGGAAGAAGAAGAGGAATCTAAGCCTCAAACTATGCCGGAAGCAATTCCCACTAAAGAATCTGAGGAGGAATCAGAAGAGGAATCCGAGGAGGAACACACGCCGCGACCTTCCGATGTTACCACGAGTAGGCCTATTGAAGAACAGCCATCTGAACTTCCAGGCGTTAAGGTTGAACATCCCGAGGAGGAAGAGGAGGAGGAAGAAACCCCTGAAATACCTCTAGTAACAACTCCTAGTGAATTGGCCACCAAGGCGCCCGAAGAAGAAGTTTCAACTCCAGCATCGGAACTAGAACCTCCTAAGACATCTGCTCCTGAACAAACAGATGTAGAAGCAACTGGCGCTCCTGCTGTGACAGAAAAAATCACTCATGAGGATGAACAACCACTGAAGCCTGCAGAAGAACCTACCACAGCACACGAGGAATTAGAGCCAAGCAAGGAAGATGAGGCTACTAAACCAGCTGTGACAGAAGAGGCCACTAAACCAAGCGAAGAAGAAGAAATAACGCACGAACCAGAAGAACATAAACCTGAGGCAGAAGATGAAGTTAAGCCGACTCCACAAACTGAAGAAGTATCTGAAGAAGAAGAGGATGAAGTTAAACCTACCCCAGACTCTGAAGAATCATATGAGTCATCAGAATCTCCAGAGAAACCTGAAGAAGAGGATGTCAAGCCAACGCCAGAAAGTGAAGAATCTTCTGAAAAGCCTGAGAAAGAAGAGGAAATCAAGCCTACTCCTGAATCTGTTGAATCTACTGAGTCATCTGAAGAGCCTGAAGAAGAGGAAGCTTCTCAGAAACCTGAGGAGACAGAAGAAGCGAAACCAACTCCTGAAGCTGCTGAGCCATCTGAGAAACCCGAAGAAGCCGAACTTCCAGCCACTGTACAACCCATTGAACATGAGGATGAAATTTCACCGACTACAAAGGAACCAGAATCATTGCCAGCTGAGCCTGAGAGACCAACAGAAGAACTTAAACCTGAAGAAGACGATACAGTCTCACCCACTGCTCTTCCCGAGGAGCAAACTGAATCAGAAGTTGCTGAACCCACTAAACCCAGTGAATTGGAAACTCCAGCTCCGAGTGGAGAGACAGAAGAGGAGAAAGAAGAAGAAGAAGCGCCAACGCCAAGTGGAGAAGAAGCAACGAAACCTAGTATTCTGGAAGAAAAGCCTACCACAGCAGCTGAAGAAGAGGATGGTGGTAAACCTGAAAAACCAGCTGAAGAGGAAGAAGAGGAGGAGGAAGAAGAAGAGGAAGAACCTGGAAAACCCACACCAGCTATTGAAACAACAGAGCAGGAAGAGGAGGCTACTGAATCAATTGAGAAGAAGCCAATTCTTCCTGAGGAGTCACTGCCAACTGAACCGTCCAAGAAAGAGGAACCCGCCACAGAAGAAGAAGAGAAAATTGAAGAAGCCACACCAATTAGTGAAGAACTCCCAACTTCTACAGAAACTCATCCCACATTGAAGCCTCTGGGAGAGAAGGAACCAGAAACCACTGCAGATCTTGATGATGCTATTGATCACACAACGTCTAGTGGTGAAGAAAAGGAAGAAGAGACGCCAAAGCCACTGAGCGAAGAGAAGCCAAGCGAAGAAATGCCAAGTGAAGAGATGCCGACACCCACAGAGAGAGAACCCGAAGCGTCAACTTCGGGTGCAGATGAAGTCACTCCTAGCAAACCTGCAGAAGAAAGTGCCGAAGGCGAAGCTGTTACAGAGACCCCGATGAAACCTGAAGAAGAAAGTGCCGAAGGCGAGGCTGTCACAGAGACCCCAATGAAACCTGCAGAAGAGATGGTGGCTGAAGTTGTCACTGAACCCAGACCAACGTCTGAAACCGAAGAAGATGATGAAGAACCCGCGGAACATAAACCGACAGAAAGGGTACCTGAGAAGGAAGAAGAGCCTGCGACTGAAAGTATTGAACCAGTGACAGAGAAGAAGGAGGAAGAAGCTACAAAACCTGCTGAAGAATTGTCTCAAGCCACAGAAGAGCCACTGAAGGAAGTTGAACCGACAAAACCATCTGAGGAAGAGCAACCTACGCCTGAAACTGAAACAAAACCAACCGAAGACAGTGAAAAGGAGGAAGACATGGAAACACCAAGCAAACCTTCTGAGGATGAGGAGAAGGAAGCAACACCAAGCCCAGTTGAGGGTGAAGTTTCAACACCCGGCAAGGAAGAAGAAGAAGAGACCTCTAAGCCTGAGATTGTAGCACCCGATTCCCAGATTGTTGAGCACGAATATGAGCCAACGAAGCCCAGTGAAGAAGAAGAAGAGCAGAAACCGTCTGATACGACGGAAGAGGGTGTAAAGGAAGGCGAACCTACTGAGAGGCCGGTGACTGAGAGAGCAACAGAAATCCCAGAAGAAGCTGAACCGACAAAGGCTAGTGAGAAGGAGCCCGAACTGGAAGTTTCAACCGTAGCTGCAGAGGTTACTGCTGCCCCGCCAGCCGAAGGCATGCCAGAGGAAGAGGAGAAACCAGAGAAGCCAGAGGAGTCAGAGAAGCCAGAGGAGCCAGAAAGTGTTCAGGAAGTCACAAGTCTGAAACCGCCTCATGGTGAGGAGGGAGAGGAGGAGCATAAGACTGAAGCGAGTGCTACCGAACCTAGCGACAGAACAACGGTGCCTCCAAGTGAGGGTGGTCTCGATGACAGGATAAAGGAGGATGAAGATGAAGAGTCACAGAAGCCCCTGCATCCGGATGATGATCAGAGTCAAGTGCCAATCTCCTTCGAACCCGAAGAAGAGGAAGAGATCATCGAAGAAGAGCCTCATGTGCCAAGTGACGAGAAACCCTCCACTGTTCAAACAATGACCCCTGATCTCAGTCACTACTCGACAAGTGCGCCGCACTACGATACCGGCTATGGCCAGGTTCCTGCTGGACACTATCCAGGACCATCATACCAAGAGGAAGATTATGGTGACGAAGAGGATGCGTCTTCGTTTGGACCCGGAACATGCAGATATGGTGGAAAACTCTACGTGTCCGCCCAACAGATCCCACGAGATGATCCTTGTGACTTCTGCTTCTGCTTCCGAAGCGATATTATCTGTCTGCAGCAGTCCTGCCCACCACCAATTACTGGTTGTCACGAGGAGCCTATCCATGGCTTCTGCTGTCCACGCTACGAGTGCCCCGTGTCGATGGCCACTGTGATGAACGTGACGACCAGCACGACGACAACAACTACAACGCTACCACCGCACTTCCTGCATCACGCCTACAAGGGCCATGCCACCCTGCAAGGGTGCCAGATTGATGGTAAAGCCTACAAAGTGGGCGACATTGTACGTCAATCGAGTGGGCCATGTATGAGTTGCATGTAAGTTTTGTCCTCTTGTATTCTTATCAAAAGACAATTGCTATTAATTCGCAGACATAATATTAAATGCTACTTTATTCTTTGCCTTGCAGATGTGGCGGCGATGGACAAATGAAATGTGATCCTAAGAAATGTTCACCAGAACCTCTTCTTCGACAAATGATTGCGGTGGCAGCCTCGAGAAAGAGATGAACTTCCAGAAATGACCAGTGAACGAACTAAAATGGTTTCTTAACCAGAGATTCAATCAACATGGATAATGCTGAAAAAACAAATTCTTTCTAATATCACGAAGGGTGCCAAACTTTTATTAATAATTAATTAATTTAAAAAGAAAAAAAAATGAGTAAATAATTTAAGAATTCAACGATACGTACTCTTAATAATATTGCATTTTTCTAGAAAACGAGAGATTCAGTCAAATTGAATAATCCAGTGTCGACGCTAAAGAAATTTTCCATCAAATTTATTTTCTTTTCCCATCTTTTTGGATGCTAGAATATTCAATATAGATTTTGAAAACTGTGGTCGACCCTAAAATAAAAGCAAGAAGACGAAGATGAAGTATTAAAACTGAACAGATTTAAAGAAAGAATACAACTTAATGCAGAAAAATCAATTAAATTGAGACAACTTTTTGCGCCCAATTTCACTTCTAGTCTCCCATTTATTTAATCAAAAAAACGTTGATTTTGAGAAAAAAAAAGTTATTGTAATTTTATTAAATTAAAAGGTTCGCGAAAATGGCCGATGTCTTGTCGACTGAATGACTTTATGTGGAAAATATGAGAATTTTCGAAAACGATTTGAGATTGAAAATTTGATAAATCATAAGATTTATCTAGATTTTTTGACATAGACATTATATGTAATTTTAAAAGAATTAACTGCAACGTGACCATTTGTCTCAGATACAAATTTTACACAAACTTGCAGCAAGTTTTGTCACACTTTTGTCGTAAACTATGTAGAGAAAGCAAATCCATCAGTTTTTTTTTCTTATTTCAATTTACGAAATGAAAATAGAAAAGGGATGCTGAGGAGCACGAGCAATACATGCGCACAAACTAGATTCTTATTGATAAATGTTTTAAAATACATAAACGATAATTATTGGGACCTCAAAACCTACCAATTAAATAAAACAATAAAAATAGACTAACACCACACTTTACATGTAACGTAACAACTTAGTAATGCAATAGAATTGAAGAAGTGTTTAGTTATGATAGGTATTCTTAGAGAATGGCCAGTGTCCAGTTGTTTGATTGACTGAAAGTGACATATTCTATGCTAACATAACATCGAGTGATTCTTCGACACGTCAACTAACAAGCACAGAAGTAATTTATTTAAGGCAGCCTAGGTCTTTCTCCTACCTGTAAGATGAGATGACGATATAGATAAAGGGTAAGATCGTTTTCAGTCACTTGAACATCTGGACGTGAGGAAGCATAGAACATATTCGAATTTTGATATGGAAGAAATCGTCATAGTGGAAGAAATTAAAGACAATTGAGATGAAACATTGCCATAAAAGGTTTGGTTACATAAAAGAATATTCCATTTTATATCATTATTATTGTAATAAAGATTTATAGAGAAGGAACAAAACAACTCATGAGAAGAGAACTAGCGAGCAAAAAAATGATAAGAAGCAATTATCAATAAATATATAAATTACATTTAAGAATTCTACATTATGCATTAGTGACAGTTCTTTATAAATAGGAGAAAAAAAATACAAGGCATAATTTTATATCATTTTAAGAATAATTTTATGATTTTTTTGAACATTTTCTCGAACCAGTGTGACCATGTGTTATGAAATATTCATCGATCAATTTTGTCAATGTATCAAAATGTTTCATTGAAGAGCAACTCCCGGAAACTGGTTACTTTTAATTGTGAAGAAAAATATTGCATTTAAGGCGAAGAGACTCTGTAACTTAAAAAATAATTACGAAATACTGTCCATGTGTCCGAATATGAAGTATTAGTTCAAGTTGATCGATGAACATTGTACTACCTTGCACAGGCCCGAGAGAAAAGCCCAGGATATATGTAAGTGTCCTTTTATACGAATAAATTTTTATGTAAAGTAAACCGTGTGTGTTTGATATCTCCTCATCACCATTCTGGATTACAACAATTACGTACAATCACGTGTGTTATCACTGCACATAATGGATTAAAACTGCGAAACACTCTCTTGTAAGTAGACAATCTCAAGGCATTTTTATTAGATAACGTGTACATTGATAACAGCAATAAACACAATTAAATGTTGACGAAGTTATCGGATAATTTATATCATTATCAAGGTTTTCTCAAGTGTTCCAGATAAAAGTTCAATATGTCTAAAAGCGCTTCGCAAATATTTTGCATGAAAAAACTTTAAAATAATTAATTCGTTGATCTTTTCAAACTGAGAAGCCTTTCAACATCAGAATGGAGAACATAGATTTGCCAGAAAGCAGGCAAATTGAATTTCTCAGCTCATTGCAGATGAAATATAAATAATAACGTGCAAAGAAGAGAACTTTTTCGCTACTAATTTTAGTAATCTTTACAAAAAGTGCGATTATCTCTCCACTTCATTCTCATATCTGGAAAGGTTGATGTAGCATTCGTTTGTTTTATGAATAGCTCGTGATACTATTGTATCAAGATATGACGAGTTGAGACACAAGAAATCACAATAATTCATTCATCCAGAGGTTTTGAATCAAGTTTTAATCAGTTTCACTCATTTGTGCGACAATTATGAGCAATTAGTCAATTTTCTGCCAGCTTAAGCGAAGTATTCCGGCGGGAAATCGCAGACAAATTGTGCGAAGGTGTGAGGTGTGGAGTTAAAGCCACGAGATTGGGAGATAACACCTCAGTTGCGTCTCGTCCGTCAATGAGAGCGGTTGGTCAGTGTCTCAACAGGCAATTTCGTGGGATGCTTTAGAAAAGTGGTTCGATAGTGACAAAAATCTCGGCAAACTTTTCAAATAGTGAGTGAATTTGTGCAGACAAATCGAAACATGTCTGAACTACCGCCTTTAAAGGAATTTCCGCGCAAAGGGCGTCGCGGAAGGAGAGCCTCGGCGGCCGCTGTTTTAAATCACACTTCCTCAACGGATCCTTGGTCACCCGATACTGTGCGCAATCTGAGGATTGATGGGACATCCGGGAGGAGATTCTCCATTGCGAAGATCCCTGAGCTGCCGCATGAAGAGCACAAGAGCAGCCTCGAGGAGCTTCACTTGCTGCCTGAGAAGAAGATGGACTACAGCCTCTACCCAGCAATGCCGACTGAGGAGGATGAGGAGGAGGTGCCGAAGAAGCCGAAGAAGAGCAGCTTTTCCGAGGGCGGTGAAGGCCCAAAACTCGGAAAGCGAATGAGTTTGGTGGCCGCTCTAATGAGCAGCACCTTTAGCAATAAAGATACCAAAAATAGCCCAATGGTGGCCCCCATTCGCAGTCACACGGATACTCCCTGCAGTCATCTCGTGAGCATCCACGAGGAAGATGATGAGGAGCAGAATCACCCGGAACCGCCGTCAGCTTCAGAGATCTGGCAGCACATGCGACAATACATCCCGTGGATTTTGGCTGTGACGAGTGTCCTCCAGGTAATTATCACCATAGATAGAGTCTCTGTATCGCCCCAAAATAGCCCCCCAATTGAGATAATTCACAGCGAAATAGACTGATCTATTTCCAAAATGTCGTGACATTCTTATTTCACACTGCGAGCACACGCGTTTTCCTCCGCGGAATTTTCCAGTCATGCACAATAGAAGATATTCTTCTAATGCCAACCATCAATGAAATTAATTTCAACCCCCCATGTTGAGTGCGAAAATATTTTAAATGAGACGTTATAAATAGAACTCCACACTCCGCATGGTCCGCATGTGTTTCCGCAACATTAACTGAGAAAAAATCAATAATTACCTCTTCACGCCGCCAGATTTGTTGCCTTTATCACGCATCTCACCTCTCGTTTTCGCAGATTTGGCTCTTCATTATGGACAGAGATGAATTTTTCCGCCTCCTAGTTTTCTCTCCGCAGCGCATTGAGGAAATCTGGAGGCTCTTCTCCTACGCACTCCTTCATCAGAATGCAGTCCATCTGGGACTCAACGTGGTGATTCAGGTAAACAGATAACTTCTTAATTGATTTTCCGCGGAAGACGGTTCCAAATTATCAACAAAGCGCAGATAATGATAGAAGGTTGTAAATGATTCGGTTGATGAAGAGAAAAATGGGTTGAAGGCTTCAGCATAAATAGTGTATGTAAAATTTTGAGGCCTTTAAAATATAATATGTTTATGACATGAAGCAACAGCATTAAAATTGATGTTTTCAATCAATGAGCTGAAATATTCTTTCCCGACAGCAAAGAATCTTTGTTATTATGGTTATTTTATATTTATTGACTGTCGAAACGACTTAAAACTATAATTTTGCCATTTTATCTTCCAATATGTATCATATCTATGTATTTAAATAATTGCCAAATTTGGAATGAACTCTAGCTCTAGCATAAAAAATCAAACTCTGTCCATTTGATTAATTTTGCTATTAAACTATCTCAGTTACTTTCTTTCATCCCACATGGACTTTTTATCTATGGCTCATATGAAAGTCGAAAGTCAGATTTATTTCGTTATTTATCGTTTTTCAGACCTTGCAAATTTCCCAATCGCGCGCGGTAGAAAAAGAATCATCAATGACCAAAAACGTCGTATTCAAATTAGTATGGGAGAACAAACAACTTTACATGTTTGACGTGATACCTCATCGTAATACATATTTCAGATCGAATGTCTTCTATAAAGTCTATAAATAAATTCTTTGTGTGACAGAATTCCTTTGCGGTGAAATTAGAGCAATTTGCGATATTTTCAAAATCAGTTTGTTATTCGAGAAGACCAAAGAAAAGTCCATTTGCGTCAACTCATTGGCAAAATAGAGTGATAAGTGATTTATTCTCACCAGATTTTCCTGGGAATTCCTTTGGAGTATGAACAAGGCCACTGGAGAGTCTTCCTCGTGTACTTTGGCGGAGCCATTGCGGGTGCTCTTGGGACGTCCGTCTTCGAGCCAAACATCCTGCTTATCGGCGCATCGGCGGGAATTTACAGTGTCCTCATGAGCCACATTCCGCACACCGTTATAAACTTCAAGAGCCTGTCCTACAGAGTGTATCGTATCATCTCTGTGATTATTCTCTGCACCAGTGATATCATCTACACCCTCATACACGTGGCTTACGGCGATCTGCCCAAGATTGGCATTTCTGCCCATTTTCTGGGCGCAATTTCCGGTCTCGTCCTCGGCACAGCTCTCTTCCGGTCAGCCACTGATAGAGGACACAACTTCAAACGACTCAGATACGCCGCCGGTGCCTGTTATCTCATCTGGATAGTCAGCAGTTTCATCGATAGTCTCGTGATGTCGCACGCGAGTCGCGTGTGATTACAAAGAAGCCGACGCAATCCATTGAAATACTGAGAGATATTTTGACTGCCATCGCAGCAGATTTATTACAATTCTAAGTTTATGTTTAAGGAAAATAATCTGAAGTCTTACAATAAAATTATGTACTGTTAGAAGAAGAGTTATAGTTCCGATACCACGAATTTTCTCCTGCATTCAACAATCTTCAGATCCCGCTCTTGAGGAGGAGTGGTTTGTAAAAAAAATTTGATCATAATTTTTAATCCGCGACACAAAATGAATTAATGTTTCATACATTTTCTTTTTTTTCATCAATTCTTTTCAATTGAAGTTTATCTGTCGCGGATTAGGCTTGTTTTTGAAGTTTTCTTATCGGGCGTACAGCTTATAGTGTGCAGACGACATACAAGCTTAATTGCTCATGTCGGGAAATCCTATCATCCTATCATCCTTGAAAAGTGATGAAACATTCCCAGATATTTGCTCTCTCCCCAATTTGAGCTTTATTTAGAACAGCCTGCACGAGACATTTGATCCTGAAACCCAATTTCAATCTGCCGATGGAATTATTTTCAAATCAGTGCTTCTCACATCATCAAAAGTTATCTTCTGTTGTGACGGTTTTGACCTCCAAAATGTAGGTCAGTCTCTTGATAACGCGATAAGAGATGCCGTTAATCGACTCACGTGAAATTCGGCAGAGCAATAAACTGCCTTGTAGAATTTAGATCAAATTTCCTAGAAACCACCCGAGGTGTTAGTTGGGAAGTTCTTAAAGCTTAAAGGGAACCCTTAGCAATCAAGTGGGGTGCAATGAACGCCGACTTCTGTGCACTTACACTCCAAGCACGGCGACGACAGCTCCGAAATTATTCTCCCCACGCGATACATCCGTCCGTAGATGTTGCAGCCGGCGAGCTTTAGGATTCCCGCGGGATCCTGGGAGCTGCTGATGATGGGCTTCGTGAAGATCTGAGTGTCTGTTTGATGCTGATCCAGCTGTGCCTCATCCACGGGATTTACCACGTAGGACTCCGTGTTGGATATGCTGGAATCCTCGGGAAGGATTTGGTAACTGTCTGGGTTGTTGTTCAGTTGTGGCAGGTCCAAGTCTGATCGAATGGGATTGAAGATCGGGGGCGTCAAGTAGGGCACACTGAGGCGATTGTGTGTCTTTGTGGGAACTGGAGAAGTCGTTGGAATCCTCTCAGTTTTATTGAACGCAACAGCATCATCGAGAAGATCAATAAGAATGTCTCGAATGACTGTAACATTTTCATTCTGAGGCTTTTCTTTAACTTCAGTGGTGGTGTTGTTCAGTAGAATTGATGGGATTTCCATTTCTTTTGAGAGATTCTTAAATTCTGGCACCTTCATGGAGTCAAAGTCGATTTCTGGCAGTTGGAAGTGACTTGTACTTTTGGGTGTTGTCACATCCTCTACCTCGGGTGGGTCATCTTTGAAGAGGAAGCCAAAGATTCCATCGAAAAATCCACCGGGCGCGGCTGTTGTAGACATTTTAACACTTCCTTCCGTCACATTTTCCAGCGTCTTCTCCTCAACAATCTTCTCTGTAACATTTCTCTTCTCATCTGCTGCATCGTCATCCGTTACAGCATCGGTGGTAATTGAGATAATTTCCCGGTCAAAGTCATTCTGAACTGTGCCATTGATAATAACTCGGTTGAGCAGCAGCTTCTCTTTGTCCTCAATCAGGGAATGCAAATCTGGTGGCGGTTCTGTTCTGATGACATTCTTAAATGGATCCGGAGGCAGAATGTTGTTGGGCTTTGGCGGGGGAACTTCCGTTGTAAGATCCACCACAAAATTAGTCGTTCGGAAACCGTCATAGTAGAAATTTTCCTTACTAGGTTCCTTCGGGAGGAAACCACCTGCGAAAAGGGAGAGAGATTTGGGTGAATATCGATGGTGTGATAAGATTAGTTTAAATTCGACTTACCCTCAGTCTCCTTTGGGGGAGAGAATCCCTTTATCTGCTCATAATTGAAGACTGGAGTTTCTGCTTCAAACTCTCCAGCGGCTGAGTTCTTGTATACAGGAACAACTCCTGCATAATTCCCATAGCCGACTATTGAGTGTTTCTCTCCATCGGAATAGTCATAATTGATCCCTTCGTATGATTCAGTGATGGAGGGATAAGCTGTTGGATCATAGTTGAAGTTTTCCTGCGTAAACGTGGGCGCATAGTCGATTCTCTTCTCCCCAACAGCAATGGGCGGATAGAGAGTGGGATCGTGTTTTGGGAAGTACTCATAGGCTGGGACAACTTTCTTCCTGTTATTCTTCACAGCGTCCGCCGGTAGGAACGGAATTATTTTGAGATTTGGAAGACTCGGAGGCAAAGTGGGCTCGCTGTAGTCATAATGATAGTCCGTCTCCAAGATGGAAGGATTGGAGTCAATCATCACTGGTGGCGAATCAGGCTTGGGAGTCAGTGAAGGCGGCGTGGGTGTTGTGGATGAGTTGTCTATCGAGGCCACAGTTGTGAAATTTGCAGTGGTTTTCGTCTTATTGGCGTCTTTGTCGAGGATGCTCGCCAGGCCATTGATGAAAGCCGATAGAATATTCTCAGTGGTGGTTGATGGGGATGAAGTGGTGTCTGGCAGCAGAGATTCGTCGTCATTTTTCAGATCAGCCTTTTCCAGTTCCACGGTAGAAGTGATTTCGGAATCAGTGGTCGTCTCACCATCTCCACTCTCTGTACTCAATTCTGAAGCTATCGTGGATGTTTCTGTAATTCCATCAATTCTCTCAGTGGCGTCCGTGACCTGCGGAGGTCCATTAGTGGTGGAATTGATACCCACTTGAGAATCTTCCACACTAATAGTAGTCGTGATGATTTGCTCAAGTTCTGTGGTTTGCACCTCAATATCTGTCGTATCAGATATCATCGTACTTGTGGGAGATTCAATATCTCCCATCGTGCTGGATTCCTCACTAATCGTCGACGTTTCTCTACTCTCAGCTAAATCACTAACAGTCGTCGAAACCACTCTGCTAATCTCACTTTTATTATCAACAGTCGTCGTTGCAACTGTTGTGGTTTCACTCGGTCGTGCAGTGCTGGACGAGCTGCTATTTTTCACACTCACCTCCTCATCCACTTCATAGTCATAGTAAGTATCGGATTCCGGATGAATATCCAGCATCTCAAACACGGGATTTGTGCCATTTACCTTACTCTTGGTCTGATTGGTGTTCAATAGAACACTGACTTTCTCCTCATGCGCATCCACAAAATCGAGTCCTTCGCGCAGAACGTCAAAGAAGCTCTTCTCACTCGTGGATGCTCCAATTCCTGGCATTTCTGTAGTCACAATGACTTCACCAGCTGCCACTTCAGTCGCATTCACATCATCCTCACCGAAGAGGATTGAGAAGAGGTCAAATTGCCTTCCCTTCTCTCCGGGTCTGTCGCAATTGAAACTTGATGGACAGCACTGGCCCTTCGGGATCATCGGAATGCAGTTCCTGATCTCAGGAGTACACTTTTGAGGAGTGCATTTCCGCTTGCCACGAATACAGTAGCACACTTCACAGGGACTCTCGGGGTCTTTGGGCAGCCGATGACCTTCAGTGTAAAGAATTCCATTTACGAAACATCCTGACCCTCTGGCCATCATTGTCACGTTTCGCATGTAGTGCTTGTTGGTGATCTTCTTCATAGGCGGCTGTTCTGTCTTCAGGGATTTCCTCTCGGAGCAGTCGTAGCGCACTGGGCAGCAGTTGGACTCGATGTACACAGGCGTGCAGTCGGCGAGGGCTGGAAGAAGGCACTTGGGCTTCACGCATCTCTGCTTCCCTCCAATGCAGTAGCAGTAGGAGCAGAGACTGGAGGACGTCATGGCGGAGCCTGACATGTAAATTGTCCCATTCTGGATACAAACTGGAAGTGAGAGCATTGAACTTTTAATTAAATGCCCGAGAGCATTCCAATGCATACATAAAAATTCGAGTTATGCTCTGTTTGAGGATAGAAAAAAAGGCATGCATTGCTTCTCTTCTGATTACTTTCTCCCAAATTTACAGTTCCTTCAGCATGAATGTTACACACAATGTTACTCTCAACGTCACTCTCACTATCGCAATCATTTCTATGCCACAAGATTAATGATCAAAATTGTGGTAGCATACATATTAGGGAATATTGGGTATGGCTTCTGTTATATAAGACAAGGTAAACCAACAACACGCTCATATGCAAAGCAACATAAAGCATTGAACTCACTATTATCATTCTCATCTTCTGTGCTTTCCGATCGCCTCAAGGCGTTGGAGTTTCCGTCTGGGATGTCTCCGTACTTCTCCAGGATGATCTTCTGCTCGCTCTCGTAATCGTTGAGGAAGTTGATCACTCGCCTGTCACTCTCCGTGAGGGGCTTGCTGTTCAGCCTGCGACAGGACATGTGGGGACAGCAGCTCTTCTTCGGCTGCACCAGGACGCATCCTCTGGGCGGCGGAATGGGCTGCTCGGGGCAGACCTTGAGAGCGCAGGTGAGAATGCGGTTGGAGCACTTGCAGCTGAGGCAGGGTTCCAGTGTGGGCACCATCGAGCCCTCTCCGTATCGCGTGCCATTGTGATAGCAGCCTGGCACTGGAAGGCAGAGGTGAAAGAGCCCGTTATTGCGATGGCCAAACGAGGAAGCGCACCGGGTGAGCGAAGAGATCGCCCACGGGGGCAGAAGAGTGACACAAATAGAGGTAAATAGCACATGCACGGCGGTAAATCTCGGCTGTGCAAACGCCTCCGAGTGTATAATCTAAAATTGGCGCGCGCGTTATTAAAAGAATTCTCAATGAAATTCCCATGGCGAATGGACATGAAACGAGTTTCTCTGATATCTCTTACACTTCTTTTTCATCGCTCCCGCAATGGTGTTGAAATTGAAATAAGACAACCAAATATTTGAGATTCCCCGCCTATTATAAACAGAGAAGCCATATCCATTGTGCCCCTTTCCCATCACCTCATGTCAGACCTTCTTGGACGACATGTGAATTGCGTAAATAGCACGGCTCGAGATTATTCTATCAGGGACGAGGGAACATGATCAGAATATGATTAAGAAGGGTACTGATGAAGGAATTCTCTTTAACAGTTAAACGAGACTGTGATAAATGGAAGAAAGTGTCGGATGAGTCTTCATATTTGTATAGACAGAGTACGTCTTCACGAAGCGTTTGTTATTCCTCAACACTCAGCAAAATTCACCAAGAAGAGTAAACAGTTTTTTTCTCCACTTGTTTGAATAAATAATCCGAATTAAGTATTCCGTGTATCCAAGCAGTGATAATTGATATTGATAATAAAAGCTCTTTGCAGTTAATAACTATTAAGAGAGTAGAGAAGTCATATAAATTATCGTTAACAGAAATGTGATCTTTCTTATGAGAGAATTCTTAGAGTGAAGGAAGATGAAAATCCTCTACAAATTGCCTTTCATAAGTAAATGTTTTGCGATTCTACGCAGTTTTTCTTAATTTAAAATGAACAATAAAGGTAACCACAGTGAAATATGAATGAAAACAACTTCTTTAACTTGCGAGTGAAGCAAAGAAGAGGAGAAATACAGGGTGTGGTGTATAACGGAGATAATTATTAATTGCAAAAAGATGTCAATATTCATTCCATAAGAGATTTGACCTCAGGTACTTTGAAATAGGAAACAGGAAAACAAATAGACGATAATTCAAGAATGCCCTGTATTTCCTTCGCTTATAAAAGTAGTTATTTTCAAGTAAATTTGCTAGTGTGTTTCGTGAGAATTAATCTCTCCCGTTGGACTTCTAATCACTTCTCTAAATGTATGTATTTTATACTCTCGGAAATACAGTGAAGATTCTTAAAATTTCTCTCTCCTACTTTGAAATTCTATTTGCCAAATTATTTGATAGATCAATTAATGTGTGAACAACTCTTTCAAGATAATTGCAGGAATTATCTCAAGCTCGCGAGGTGTTATTAATCTCTGGTTGTGCTTCTTTCCCAATTCCCAAATTCGTCTTGCCCAATTTCATTGCCATCAAGAACCACGAAATTGTTTTTGCGCATCGAATAAAAAAAAATTCACGTGATAAATGAATCCAATCTGGAAAATATTCGTGTTTTGATGCTCATTCGCCATTGTTTGAATTTTCTTTGAGATTCTTGACGGTTCTTCTGAAATTGTTTAATTCTCGCCGGTGAGAAAAATGGATGTATTCTACCCGGTCACACCATATCTCCATTCATTCTTTTCCAGCTTTGGCGAAGACGAGAAATTACCGTGATACATTGCAATCTGGAGGAGGTCTTCTCACGTCATCTGGAATGAATTTTATTTCGGGAGAGAGAGAAATCATACAATTCAAACGCGAAACGGGTCTTTGTGGGCTCCGCACTTGCTGTTTTTGTGTGCAAATTGAGCAATTAATGCGGATGATTTTGGTCCTTTCTGCAGTCTTTCTCTAATCCTATTATCTCGCGATCGCGCGCTTGAGAAGTTTCTCAGAACTGAACGCAGAAGATCGTGGCGAACATGGCACAATCTCAGGTGAATTATCAGTTGGGTAAGTATAACTGTAAAATCACGACAATACCATCCATTATATTTTGCAGAGGAGAATGAGCAATTTATGCGGAGGGTAAATTAGCGAGTTCATTGATCAGTTTGCTGGCTTAATGAATTAGTTTGAGGCAATTACTCGTTGTGCTTTTTTTCTTCTATACTCACATGATTCCCGACTCAGAACTCTGTAGCCGTGTATGGGTGTGACGACGAGGAAGGCAATTAAGATGAGGAAGAGCTGCAGAGGAAACGACGAATGTGAAGACAGTGTTTTTGCCATCTTCACCATCATCTTTTGCCACCAATTTTGCGTCTTGTCACCGCTCTCGTTGCACAAGCACATATTGTCGAAATGATCGCGACCACTTTTCGACTCCCTTCTTTGCACACTCAACTGATGGGGAAGTAAAATTTGACGATATGTGATATCCAAAAGAGATCACTCGCAAGACAACATCATCACTTCTTGCAGACAAGATCACCGATCACATTCGCCAAAGATATGAATATCATTGAGTTGCTGCTCTTCCGATTGTACATCAATATAAACAGCATTAAAGTAACGGTGAACACACTTTTATTCTTTCGCAGCTTTGAATACAACACGATGCGCGAGGCACAATCATTGATTAAACTGTGAGTTCTTCACCTTTATCCAACTTCTCTCGCTCTCTCTCTCTCTTTCTTCCGAACTTCGGGCCACGGCACAGAATCGAGAACTTTGTGCCAAAGATCGCGATCGATTTAGAAGTCACACACAATTCTGCATTTCATCACAATCCCGCAGATCATTTTCAGCAGTGGCTGTTGATTCTTCCACTTAGAAGAGCAGAAAATTCCACAGGTCAGTATGTGGCATTTTTCACAAAGTCGAAGACACGATAGCACTTATCCATGATTTACTCTCTTAGCACAATATCGAAGGGACTCGTTTTCTGCACCCCTCACGCAATTCTTACACAATGTACTGTTAAAGACTTTCAGCCTGGGAATGGAACGCCCAGAAAAAATGTCTGCCACTGCGTAAACAAACCGCTGCGAGAAGAGGAGACAATGTGAGTCGACGAGTCTTCTGCAAGAACTGAATTGGTATCCAAAGATGGGCGAGCTTTTAAAGAAAGTTATATAATGTGCATGCTCGTGCGCGAGTGTGTGCGTGGAAGAGAAGAATAAGGAATATCCGATGTACATAACGTGAAATTGTACGGAGTGCCATGCTGAGAGGCACTGCAATCGCACATAATGTGTACTGTTGCTGTTAGAAGAGCAGCAAGACTCTATGGCTCATGATTTTTGGACTTAAAATAGCCACTCTGGGTGTGAATGTGTTTTTTCGTAACTCTTCAGGAGTCCATCGCAACTATTTATTCAATAGATCGTGGGTGTTGATATTTTATACAATATCATCTCTTTTGGCAAGATTAGACACACGATTTGCTGTCGATATATTAGCATATTTAGTGCCTCAATTGGCGCAATGATCACCCCTCAGAGATTAAACATTAGAGTCTTTTGCTGTACATAAAACATCATGAGTTTGTCGTCTGGGGCACTTCATATTCCGTCGACGCAACTTGAGTGCGCACGGAAAGATCCTCAGGGAACAAAGTAGGAATTGAGTTTATTGGTTCAATATGTTGATGATGAGTAATTCCAACTTGCTATAAATGATTTTCTCATTGAACCGTCGGTGATCGCCTTAATTACACACCACGGCACTGTGCCATCGCGAAGGGAGGAAAAGCATCTCGCGACTGATTGTTGACCTGCACTCCGCAAGATTCACCGCAACGATGAAGGCGCTGAGACTGCGTGGCTCGCTGACCGCGGAGGGCAATTGTGTATGCTCTGGCCGTGAAGGAATGAACTTGGCCCGTGGAAGCCGCATACATTGTTGCGTAAGAGAGCAAATGCAAACCTAGTCCGCCGATCCAATGGGCAATTCAGTGCCGCGCGGAGATGGAGAGAGTAATACCATCATGAACTTGATCTTCTTTGATCTGGTGTGCAACGAACCGATGCAATCATCGCATCTTTCTCATTCCCTTTTACACTTTTCCTCCTATGCCTCTCGTTCAATAATTCATGGATGTGGATGTGCATTGAATAGGAGAATCATGTCCAAAAAATTCCCCTCCGGAGCAGCACTCTTTCTCCCTTTGACCATTCCCATCGTGAGATCAACCATAAAAGTAATTTAGGTGGACAATAATCTCATCTTTCTATCGCAAAGAGCTTTTTCCTTACCTCACCACTGCGACGCGATGCGGAGGTCTCTGACTCCATAATTTTGCATGCTTCACTCTTTGTCATCGTCCGCGCAGACCATTGTAAATGACGCCACAAATTGGCAAAGACTTTTTCCCAAATTAGACGAAAGGCCATTCTTCTCTTGCCTCCGTGGAGATGTGCATTAAATCCAGCGACTATGAAAGTCTAGAGTGGAAATTATCAAGTTTCACAACAAAACTTCTGTTCAGTCCAATGTGATCAAGATTCGAGCTGGAATTTCTTCATCCACCTCTGGATGTTCTCAACTCTTTCCACTTGAGAATAATAAGGAAATTTATGTGACTCAAGATGAAATTGTGCAAATCACGGTAGAAGTTAATGTGAGAATTTCGAGAAGGTGTCTTCGCAGTGGAATTGCCTCATGTTCTAACCCATAGTCTTGTGTGGATGAAATGGGAATTTCGTGGTAATCATCCAGCATTTGCCATCTCTCCTGCAAAATGTGAATACTCATGCATGAGTGCCACCTAATTGAGCGTGGAAAACATATCAATTGATACTGGACACGATGGCAACATGCCATTTTCACGCATCATCGTTCACGCTTAATTAACATGTTTACGTTGACAGGGATATGCCTGATAATCCATCGATAAATCACTCCATTCCAGCCATGGATAGTCAATTAAAGTGCAAATGCAAAGGTGGAGGCAGCAGGAATGCAAGAACTTCGTGTGATGGACTTCGTGACGAAACTAACCGTTGCAATGAAAAGATGACTTTACTTTTCCACCTACAGTTTATTCATTTTTTTTTTAGAATTTTCACAATGGTTTTTTAACTTTTTTTGTATTTTTCAGCGGGATCCATGGCATTAGCAAGTGGTCTCATCACTAAATGTTAGCAATAAGCCACATAAATCAATCAATCAATAATTTAACAAATAAAAAAAATCTCCAATGCCTGAGAAAGCATAACATTCGTGATGTTTATGCATTCTGGAACAATTGGAGAACTTCTTTACGTGCTAAAATGGCACGTTTAAATAAATATAAACATAAAAAATACTAATAACCACAATACAGAGAGGATTCACAAGATCAAAGATACTACATATCGAAATTACTGTTCAAATTGTCCACAATCAAGATTAATTCGTCAATGCAGTTATCCAGTCACTACTTTTATTTCTTTTTTACTGCCATAAAACCTACACTCGTTTGTTTTTTTCCTTCTAATATAGAGCATACAAAAAGAAATACATTTAGCCACTGAATTCAGTGACAGGATGAGGCCACTCTTGTCAATCACACAATAGATCGGTGTGTTTTCGCTCTGGCTCTTTCCCACAAATAAAATCCTTCGCGAAAACACAACACAAAACCATGTGCTGATGGAAAAATTAGCAATTAAACTTCTGCACAACTTCTCTCTCTCTCTCTTCCTCACAGTTTTTCATTGGCGATAAAGTGAAAATTGGTGGAATTTTTACCAAATCGCAAACTGTTGCGGAAACTGAGCGAGGAATTGCAAGGATTGAACTTTCAATTTGTATTAAAAAATCGTTATTCATTCCATCAGTGACACAGGGAATTGCAGCAGGCTGTGATCAATGAGATGATAGTTGAGATCACACTTGATATTTCCTACTGTGACCTATCATGCGATCTAGCATCATGTTTAGGATCCCGAACACTTATTAATTCCATTAGTTACAATAGAAGTACAATATTCTGTAATAGTTTTCTCTCTTCCTTCTTCCTAATGCATTAATTTTTTTCTTGTATCTGTAGTTATGATTCTGTATCTGCTGAAAGAAACTAGCAACAGGTTTTATCTTGGATAAAAATTCCGTTTTTAAAACATCCTTTTCTACATTAAAAATCATTAAAATATGAATTTAAACATTTCTCAATAAAACTCTTCCTTTGCTCTCACTATACATAAGTTAGTACTTAAAACGAAGACGGAGAGTGAATGAGGCTAAAAAATTATTACCATATTTTCTACTTTTGCTGTTCTTTCTTTTAGAAGTGTGGCGAAATAAAATATTGAGACAAGTAATCATTCTACTCAATTGAAGAATCTAGTCAATAAAAACTAACCGCAACTTTCCTTCCTAACCTCAAACATTTTGATAAAACACAGTGTATAAAAAAACCTTTGACTAAAATAAAAGGTGTCTAAAACGTTACATATCAAAAGTGATATTGAAAAATATAGATAAAAAATGTGTTTCAAAGGGTGCACTTAACGTAACTTAAATCTTTTGGGCTCCGACCCGAAATCCTCGAGCAATCAGTTGATCTTCAGCTCCTTAGCCTGTTCCCATGGGAATCCATCACGGCCAAAGTGTCCATAGCAGCTTGTCTTCTGATAGATTGGGTTTCGGAGATTGAGGTCACTGTGACAAAGAAGATATAATTATTGTGGCGCCTCAGCATTGCACAAACAATATCTTAAGATTTTGTCACTTAAGCAAAAAATATCGAGTAATTTAACTTTGCTGAATAAGGAAATAATTGCTTGTCTTGAAAAAAACAAAGTGGAGTTTTCAAATCAACAAACATTTCATCACACTTATCATTTGAGCATAAATACTCACGTGACAATCTTGCCGGGCCTCAAGTCAAAGTTCTTATTCACGATGTCAACGAGCTCATCTTGGGACCACTTGGACGTGCCATAGTCAAAGACGGTGATTGAGAGAGGCTCAGCCACGCCAATGGCATAAGACACCTGCACGAGGCATCTCTTGCAGATGCCGGCCTTCACCAAGGACTTGGCCACCCATCTGGCGGCATACGCTGCCGAGCGATCCACCTTGGTGAAGTCCTTGCCGGAGAAGGCGCCACCGCCGTGAGCGCCCCAGCCGCCATACGTGTCCACAATGATCTTTCGGCCCGTGAGTCCAGCATCGCCCATCGGTCCGCCAATGTTGAACACGCCGCAGGAATTGATGTGCACCACAGTGTTGGCGTCAAAGTACTTCTCGGGAATCACATTCTTGATCACCTTGTTCATCACCTCCTCGCGCAGCTCACTCAGTTCAATCTTCTCCGAGTGCTGCACAGACACAACCACCGTGTGAACACGCTGCGGAATCGCCGATCCCTCATTGAACACATATTCGCATGTGACCTGCAATGACAGATATTTCAGTTATCACCATTCACGGGGTCAAACATTCAGCGCTCTTATCTAACCTGTGTCTTTGAATCAGGGCGAGCCCACCAGAATTGTCCCGATCGTCGCAGTTCGGCAATTTTCTGGTTCAGACGATGAGCCAAAACCACCGTCAACGGCATGCATTCCTCAGTCTCATCCGTGGCGTAACCAAACATAAGACCCTGGATATTGCAAATAAAGTTCAACAATGAGAAAACAACATCATCTGAAACTGACTGATAACAACTTTGTCATTCTCTCCACCAAAAGCATTTCCGCAATCTCTCTCTCTATAACATTCCAAATCCACATTATTGATCAGAGGACTTGCATTTCAATTAATGTTTCTCTCATCTTCACATATCAAATGAGATATAGAAGGAATGAAATGGGTGTTTATGTTGAGAAATAGTATGATAATGCAGTTTCTCAGAAGAAACACTATAATCCACACATTGTGATAAACTTCGCGGGCGGCTTAACATCAAACAACTTCTGGCTATTTAAATCACATTTCTCCAATACAGTGAAATACATAAATATATAATTTCAAGAGCGCAAATATAAGCAATTGTGTGGTAATATTTCTTCCTGAGTCACTGCGTCTACTGTGAGCACCAAAATGAGTTTTCTGACCTGATCACCAGCTCCGACTTCTTCATCTGGCCGATTTTCATGCACCCCAGCCGCAATATTTGGTGACTGTTGATCCAATGCAAGCAGGACGTTGCACAATTTATAATCGAACCCTTCAAAAATATGCAATCATGAATTCAAGTGCACATCACAGTGGGTTAATAAAGGGAAGGACAGTAAGAAAGGTTGGGTAAGTTCTGTATGTGTATGTCTGGTTTGTATCCTCTAGATTTACAATCCTCATCCTGCAGAACATTTTCTACATATTTACCCATATCTCTCTTTGAACTAAAGCATGTATAAAATGTTTTGGCAATGCCGGACGATTACTCATCATAAACATTTAGTAAATGCAAGTTTGTCTTCTATAATTATCATGCAGATTTTAAGAGAACATTCACAAGTCTTCCCATCATCATATTTCTCGCTCGCACGATTATTAATTCCCCGCCTCAACTTGCACAGTAGTTCTGATTTGATTGTTTGATGAGTATCTACCTGATCACCAGCACCAACGTCATCTTCCATTCGATTAACATGGACACCGCCGGCAATATCCGCAGATTGTTCTTCAATTGCCACTAACAGATTCAGGGTATTCCAATCGAATCCTAATCATTTTACATTACAATCATTAGCCTTCGAAAACAACCAAAAACGCTTCTTTTGCATCCTTTCTTCTAAACTCGCAAAGACGCGCTGTACAAATTTAGTCTTTTAGGAGTACAATTTATTATGCAGTGAATAAATTCAAATACCTTTTGAGCTATCGTCATAGCCTATATGTTTCACTGTATCGCGCACAACTCTCTGATAATCAACAACGGCTGTCGATGAAATTTCGCCGCACAGTAAAATCATGCCAGTCTTGGCGACAGTTTCTGGAAGAGATAACAAACACACAATTAATCTACAAATCGACTCTCTAGCTCTCTCTCTCTCTCTAGCATGTTTTGATTTATATAATGCCGAAGAAACTGCGCAAAGACGAAATTGTACTGTTTAATTTTACTCATTCTCTTTCTCTCATCTCCTTCTTCTCTGATTATCTTAATAACCGTGTTCAACAATACGAGGCGTCATGGCAACTTAATATTATTCTTGCTAACACAATCAACAAAAGCCACTCGAGTATTCTTCTTTCTCTCTCTCATTTACTGCATTATGCCACGTGCTGAGGCTTCAGTTTTCTGTAATATAACCCCAGATGTTGATAACAAGGCGCGGGTTCACGTCATTTGTCTAGCATTGCACCACCAACACGAGATACCCCGCGATTCGACACAGCAAAAGTGCAGACTAAGGTCTGTGTGTGCCATCAATAGAATATCTAATAACGCAAAAGCGTCACAAATATATCACTTGACCACCTCTTCACCCCTTTACATTGTGACACAGCGCAAACATTACAAATTCAAATATCGCGTGAAATACACGCCACGGGCATCTTTTCATGTTACAGGAAATTCATCACGCGTCCCAGATGATCTTTCGGCAAATGAGGTCAGAGATCTCTCCCTTAGTGACAGAAATAGATCAAACATACTGCACGATTTTTGCTTACGACCCGAAAAAATTCAATTGCCAACCACAATCTCAGGCCTAATTCGTAAACACCCAACCCAAAAAGCGCGTAGTACGGACTCTCAGTCCCTCTGATAGGCGCAATCAGTGCGCAAAAAAGTATAAAATGCAGTGTCATCACTTCAATTGAACCATTAATCTTTTATCTTCCTTCCATTTCCCCTCAAACTGACTGAGTTGCTCAAGAATACCGAGTGTGTAATCAAAGACTGTGATTTATTCTGTGAATTATGTGATCTCCGCATGAAAGCCACATTTCTCCGCCACCTTGAGCGAAAGTTTAATTGATAATAGCCTTATCAGCTTTAAATGAGTGAAGATAGTGACAAGAATTCTGACAAAGTGCCATAATAAAGGCAAAATTATAATCTAATATTCTCTACTTTCCCCTCACGAATCGAAACGCGACACCGATAATAATCACATTTTTTCTCAAAATGCGTAATTTAATTATCAATTTAACCCTTCAGTCCGTAATCTTGAAGTGAATAAACTCCAGAATCATCATAATTAGTTCAAAAAATTCAGCGAACGCAAATGGCTTTAAAACAGAACGATTTTCAACCGAATTATTTTTAATGAATTAAGCTGCAATTTATTTTTATGTCCGTTCATATCATAATAAAATGAACAAAATAGCCTGATTAACACAAAGGAAATAAAAAAAACCCCAATTATCAATTTCACCCACGAAAAAACGCCGTAATTTCCTTGATAATTATTCACATCTAAGAACCAAGAAAAATCTTATCATCTGCTTTTTCTATAATTACGACATAAAGTTCTTCTTTCGCCTGTCTTACGCAATTTCTCGTCACTTTCCGTAATTCTCCATCGGGTTTTCCCCTTTTGCAGTTTCCTCTTTTTTTTGCCTTTTTTCACCAGAATCACACTTACCGCAGGCCACCTTGGCATTGGGATCCTGAGACAAGTGAGCATCGAGGATGGCGTCACTAATTTGATCGCACATTTTGTCTGGAAGGAGAAAAAGAAACGCATGAGGCCTTGTGCTTGGCGACTGAAAAACAAAAACATATGCTCAGCAAACCACGTGGTACCCGAGCGTCAATGCGGAGGGGAAATTTGAGCACCCGAAACCCAAAACCACTACACGCTCATGTGTTTTTTTGCCCCTCGTGGGCGCCGCAAAGGCCCCGCCGGGGGCCATTAGTGGGCCCCTCGAGGCCCCCTCTGTCGCCGTGCCGAGCCGGAGAGCCGAGCCGAGGATTCTGCACGAGGAAAAGGGTTCGCAGGTGAATGAAACTTTGACAGAAGAGTGCGTGAAGGGGATTTTGGCCGACACGCGGGACCGCCATCTTGGCGCACTTCAATAGCAAATTTTCCGAGAAACTATTTCTCACTATTGCCCAATGCCTTGACTCACAAATTGCATCCCATATCAGTGGTTACATCACGACTTTCCGGCAGGGCAGGAGGAAAAGCTTAAAACTCGCGCCACTCACGGACTTTGCCCCCCACACAAGCCAACTGCGTCTCTGTCAGACGGGCAGTTCTTCCCTGGAAATCACCGCCAAACCCGTGCAAACACTCACCAGGATGGCCCTCGCCGACGGACTCCGAGGAGAAGAGGAATCTCTGTCCGTCCTGCATGTCGTGCACGGAGTGCCCGTTGGTGTATCCATTGGCGACGCTCATTTGGGGCATTTTGAATGATTTTCTTAACTTTTTACTTCGCGCACTGTGAATGAAGCTATGAATTATGTTGTGAAATTCACTTTATTTAACACCTTATTTTTCAGACACTCGCCGCCTTCGTTTCTACACCTTCTCCTGACAACTCTCTATGTGGAAAAGAGACCGAGTATTGCACTGCGCCGCCTTTTATAGATTCGGCCGACAATGTGTAATTCCCGTCCCAGCCACGCAGCTGCTGTTGCCGCCAAAGGGGTAAATCCTCTTCAGCAACAGCAGCGCCTAGCTGTGAGTAGAGAAACAAGAATTATGGCGGAAAATATGAAATGAGGAAGCAACCGAATTAGTGCCCAACAGAGTGAAATCCCATGAAAAACCATGCAAAAATACATAAAATTTGTGTAAAATAGAGGCAGAAGAGTCTCTGAAAAGTGTGCTGAAATATCTGAAAAGTAAATGAATTAGACAACGAAGAATTACAATCAATTTATTTCACTCTAAGAATTCTCCGTTCTAAGAACTTGGAAAGTAACTGGTTGGAAAGCACTTGAGAGTCACGTCTGCACTGCTAGGAGTTCCTTGGCCGAATGATTCAATCTCGTGCGCGGAGAAATAAGAAATCCGCTGAAAATGCGCGAAAAGTCCGTTTATCAACAGAAGTGGTGAGATGAGCAGAGGAATAATATAAAAAATGCTGATAGTAAAATGACTTGACAAAATTGAGATGTGAATAGAGAGAAAGGAAATCATGTGTTAAATGACTGAATATGTGTAATAAATAAAAACATGGGTCGAATGTGAAGAAAAAATTTATCAGTGCTGTAAATTCGTCTAAATATTGATGCTTTCGAGCCCATTTAGCATCGAAACAGCTGAAGAGAAGGTTAGAGGTTGGGTGAAAATACACTAATAGATTGTGTCGTAGTGAATTCATGGGTAAATAGAATCTCGTGATAACCCCAATGACGATTTTTCACAAAAACACCCAACTAGTGCAATTATGGCACAGTTCAAACGTTTTCTCCGTTCAAACTGCATTCTTAAGGTCATTCAGCGCTGCGGCAACATATGAAACTACAATAGACGTCAAATCATTGATGGCGTTTCTGCGCAAGTGAAGTGTTGTGAGCGGAAAAGTGTGATGAAATTCCGCAATTTTGTGTGATTCAGTGTGGAAAGGAATGATTTTTGTACGTCAAGAGTAGCTCAATCCCTTTCTCAATCTCTCCCTGTTGTCTATAAGTGTGAAGAGTGCGTTTTTTCACCATGAAAGTGTCCAAGGCCACTTGTTTTGTAATTTGCCTTATCGTGGGAGCTGCAATTGCCAGCGAGAATGTCTCCTCGTCGACTGCAGCACCATCGTCTACTGTGCGCGCCAACGCAACATCAGCGGAGATCGTGGATCCACCAGAGGAGGCGAACATCACGAACGCGGACAGTGAGCATGCCGGGGCCGTGAGTCCTGCGAGTCCTGTGCCGAACAACAGCACGGATTCACATGACTTGCCCGACACTGGAGCCGTCGAGAGGGAGCACAACAGCTCCCTGAACATGTAAATACTTTGGCAGGACATTTCCTCAGACTGTTATTCTTATTTGTATTCTATTTGCGTGCGCAGATTCTTCGTGCTGTGCGTGATCGCTTTGGGAATCCTGTTGATTCACATGATGCTGCACACTGGCTTCCAGTACCTGCCAGAAAGTATCGTCGTGGTGTTCCTGGGCGCGCTCATTGGACTGCTGATAAATGCTCTGTCGGAAGGCAACATTGCCAACTGGAAGCGCGAAGAGGTGTTCTCGCCAACAGCCTTCTTCCTCGTCCTCCTGCCGCCCATCATCTTCGAGTCTGGCTACAATTTGCACAAGGGAAACTTCTTCCAAAACATCGGCTCCATCCTGGTTTTCGCCATCATTGGGACCACGATCTCAGCTCTGGTTATCGGTGCTGGAGTGTACATTCTGGGCCTGGCAGATGTGGCTTATCACCTTAACTTCGTGGAGTCCTTCGCCTTCGGTTCGCTCATCTCGGCTGTGGATCCTGTGGCCACTGTTGCCATCTTCCACGCCTTGGACGTGGATCCAGTGCTCAACATGTTGGTCTTTGGAGAGAGCATTCTCAACGATGCCATCTCCATCGTCCTGACAACGACTGTCATGGAATCCGCCAAGTCATCGGTCGGCGAGGCCGCCGTGAGCACTGGCGAGGGACTCCTCTCGGCCTTCTACACCTTCTGCATGATGTTCTTTGCCTCCGCGGGCATCGGAGTGGTCTTCGCCCTCATCAGTGCCCTCCTGCTGAAGCACATCGACCTGAGAAAGCACCCCTCGCTGGAGTTTGGCATGATGCTGGTCTTCACGTACGCTCCGTACGTCCTGGCAGAGGGCATCCACTTGTCCGGCATCATGGCGATCCTCTTCACGGGCGTCGTCATGTCGCACTATACGCACTTCAATCTCTCAACCGTCACGCAAATCACCATGCAGCAGACGATGCGGACGCTCTCCTTCATCGCCGAGACGTGCGTGTTTGCCTACTTGGGACTGGCCATCTTCTCCTTTCAGCACCGCTTCGAGGTGGCTTTGGTGATCTGGTCGTTGATCCTGTGTCTGCTCGGCAGGGCGTGCAACATCTTTCCGCTGGCGTGGCTGGTGAACAAGTTCCGGGAACATAAAATCACCAGCTCAATGCAATTCATCATGTGGTTCTCTGGTCTCCGCGGAGCGATTTCCTACGCCCTTTCACTGCATCTGGACTTATCGAGTGACGATTCTCGGCATGTGATCATCACCACCACGCTCATCATTGTCCTGTTTACCACGCTGGTGTTTGGCGGATCGACAATGCCTCTGCTGAAGTATCTGCGCGCTGGAAAAAAGCCGAAATCCACGAGATCTCTGCGCAGGAACAGTCGTCGACGCCGAGATGTGCCCATTTCGCTCTCCAAGACACGTGAATGGGGTCAGGCGATCGATTCTGAGCACCTTTCTGAACTCACTGAGGAGGAGGAGGTGGCCTTCTCGAAGACACGTCTGGGTGGCTTCGCCCGTATGGACAGGAAGTACTTAACGCCATTCTTCACGCGACGCTTCACGACGCAGGAACTGCACGACTGCAAGAGTCAGATGGCTGATCTCACCAACAAGTGGTATCAGGCCATTAGAGTCTCTCCCGAGCACACGGACGATGAGGAGGACATGATCTCGCGCCAAACGGATCTCGGATCATCTCAGTCAACCCTTCCAGTGGGAACGCCAAGTAAGATTTAAAGTAGGTTATCCGGGGATTTCGCTGGGGATCGCAGGAATCTGTGCAGTTTGCACGCTATTCTCATCCAACTAGTCTTGATGTGCGGTTTCCAAAGACAAATTTTGGACGTTATTCAGCCATCATGCTTGCAAAATTTGTTCTATGGGAATTCGCTTTGTTTTGACTCGATTCCAAATTCAATATATGAGATATGTGGCGTTCAATTTACCTAATGCGTACTTGAGTGCGAAAAATTAGCATTTTCAATTAATTTCCCACAATTATACTAACAAATGAGAGTGAAACTAGGAAAGAACATAACTCTTGCTATGTCTGTGCTGACATTCCTAGGAATTCCGCGTGCTCGCGGGTCACTGATAACAATAAATAGTTCAATCTATAAAATAAACGCCACTTACCGTTATACATTACAATCATTAAGTCACTTTTCCATTGAAGAATTCTGTGCCACGAAGAGGAGTGGTGCGAATGGCGGGCAATGCGCTGTGCGATCCCTTTTGCGAATCTCACTCTGTTGGTATTCCTTTTTGACTATTTAGAAAGATTTTTGAAATGGCTTTAAATGACGAGAAAAAGTGGAACTTTTTTGTGATACGAATGAATTTGTTGGAAGAGCTTTTATTTAAGTGCTTTCTAAAGTTTATTTGAAGTTATATACTTTAGTTATGTATTTCAAGTCAGTGAAGAAAACCACCATAATTTAATTGTACTACAAGTCAACAGTATGAATAAAGCAAGAAAGTATAATTATAATGTGTTTGTTCATCACTTTTGGGCTGACGTTTTGTTGTGGTTTTGGTATGGAGAGAAGGAAAGAGATGATTTTACTGTAGGAATTTAATTTATTTCCAATTTCTTACCTAAAAGCTTATATCAACAATATTTCCGCTAACGTCTGATGGTTTGTTTACACAGAAGTGGGTAATTTCCATTTGCTTTTCACTTTTATTCACTTTATATATTTGTTTTCTCCAAAAGAAAAGAACTCTACATAACCATGTAAATAGTTTTTCACAGCGTCTACAGCTTTGTATGAGTTTAATTTGAATTAATTTAATTTGAAAAGAATCTACCACTCAATCAAGTGTCTACTAAACACGATGAAAGGACAATGTTAGTCCTAAATCACTAAAATAATTACTAATCTTGCTAGGTTTTGTAACAAATAAAATATTTACAGGGGAGATACTCGCAAAAAATGTAACAATTTTTAATCTTTGTCTCTCTTAACACGCCTACAAACTAGGAAATGCACTTTTGATTTATTTGTACGACATTGCCTCAAATTTTCTCAATTGATGACGATCACAATATGTTTTGCAGATCATCACACTTAGCAATTTGATAACAAAGGGGGAGTTTTTTTTCTTGCTAAAGAGTAAATAAGGTATTTTTTTACAATTTCTTTCTGTTCCATAGATTCCTTCGTGCTCTTGTTTTTTCTTCATCTTATTCACAGCTTGTTTTCTCTTAACACAAAAATATATTTATATATATGTACTCCAAATTCCTTTTGGAAAGAAAAAGTAAAAGTAAACTGAAAGAAATAATCTAATACACACCTGAATACACACTAAAAAAGATGTAATAAATAGTTAAATGGTACCGTAAAGCAATTGTGAAAAATAATTGCTTATCTTATATTGGAAGTGTTGTATTTTTAGGAAGCTTTCGACAATGATTTGCTATAGTAACGAAGTCACTCTTTTTGGCAATTTCTATCAAGTGGGAAGGAGATAGTGTGGGTTCTTGATTTTGGGGTCTTATCAATCGACCACGAGTGCCCATGGATGATCGAGCTTGCCATACTGGATATCTGTCATTGTGGTCCTGAGTTGATCAAACACGGGCTTCTCCTGCTCAAGGGTGGGTATCAGGAGCTCCTCACCAAGGTAGCTAATACTCTGGACGGGACACACAACGCAGGCCGTTCCGGCTCCGAACATCTCCAAGAGCTGTGGAGAAAGCAACCACGGTTAGACATTGAATTTGCTGCTTGCGGTGCAGAAAACACTCACCCTCTCCTCTTTGATCAGCTGCTGCACCCACTTCATGGTGATCTTCCCCTCGCGCACCTGATACTGACCCCAGGATCTGCTCAACTCCAGAATGGAGTCCCGCGTGACTCCGGGCAGAATTAATCCATTCAACGGCGGCGTTATCAGTTCTTTCTCTGCAATGAACACCATTCAAGTTATCGGGAGCTCATGATTGTGCAAAGTCTCGGGTGTTTTATGGGCGGCTTGATAAGCTGCGCCTTACCTCCATTGTCGTTGATGTACACCATAAAGACATTCATCACTCCCACTTCGGTCAACTGGTGATCTTCGCCGTACAGCCACAGGACCTGCTGGAGGCCCTGCTTGGCCGCCGCTTGCTGGACGTAGATTGTGGGCGCGTAGTTGGAGCCGAGCTTCCGATCGCCGGCCCCTCCGGGCCAGGCGCGCACGTATTGCGGATCGGCGAGGAGGGACACGCCGCCGGTGGACTTGGGCCCGAAGTAGCTGCCCACGGGACTGAGGATGGTGTAGAGGAGGGCCGAGTCTGAGGAGGCGACGCCGAGTGTGGGCTCGATCCCGATCAGCGTGGGCCGAATGTACAGGCTGGCGCACTCCGTGTGCGGCACCCACTCTTGGTCGATCGAGACGAGGCGCGCCAGGCACTTGACCAGCTCCAGGCCCTCGAAGGTGGGCAGACCGCAGCGACGGGCTGTCAGGTTCATCCGCTTCATGTTCATGTCCGGACGAAACAGGCGGATCTTGCCGTCGACGCCACGGTAAGCCTTCATGCCCTCGAAGAGCTGCAAGAGAAGATTGAAAGTCTCGCTTGAATTCGTCCACTAAACTTTGTTGCCAAGATGAGGAATGACTATTTCAGTAGCTGGTAATAAAACCTTTATCTACTATCAACATGTTTACAGAGGCTGCGAAAAAATAACTATTCTTGGCTATTCATGAAATGTTTACAAAGCCAAGATCTTATCACTATCATTCGTGTGAGTACAAAGGAACATGTGAGCTTGGAATCAGATTCTAGGCTACCTAATCAGGAGTCGCCTGGAGCCTGCAATCTCAAGTAGCCGCTGAGCTTTTTGCCAAAAACCATATCTTGGCAATTACCAATGGAAAGGCGACACTGTGAGACCCTGAAGGGGAGGTGCTCTAGCGGTCATGTGGAGTCGAACATGGTGTCATGCGATAGCAGAGAATGAATGTCCCCCAGTAATCTCTGCAAAGTGTGTGTTTTTGCCCAAAAGTGGCGGGCAAAAGGAGCAGCAAAAAATCCGCCTGATAACCTATTTGGCCTTACCGATTTGCGCGCATCGGGAGGGGGGACAAAAAAATTTGTAGGAAAAATTCTCGATTAAATTTACAATTTTATCAGTGGTGATTAGTGTTGCTGACTATTGTGCGATACATTCTCCCCACGGTTATCAGTCAAGCGATTTTTTCTTTGCTGTCGCTCGCAAATCTTGCTGAGGAACATAGCGAAAGAGCGCTTTTTGCGAAAGCCATTGTGATTAGGCACAAGTTTCTTCTGTTATCACGTGCGGAATCAGAGTGTGGCAACCGTACTTGGTTTTCCCTCCTCGGCCACACCTCCGATTAATCAATGAAACACCCCCAAGCTAGTGTGGATTGACCAAAGGTATCAACAACTATAAAATGTGTGCTTGTGCTCTTGAAAATTTATTCATTCACACTCCGCACTGGCGAGTCTTATCACTGCGGGATTTCCTGGCCACCAAATTAGGCTTTCCTTTGTGTCTTTTTCGTGAAATATTTGAGAAGGGAATAAATGGGCAAATGTCTCACCTCAACAGCATAGTGGAAGACTTTAGCAGCAGGATGCATCACGAGGTTCTCAAGAGGCGTAATCTCGGGCTTCTGCCAGCCGCCCAGGCTCTGGTGGTGGAAGATCTTCAGCATGTGATCCGTGAAGATCTTCCCAAAGCCCATATCGTCCACGTCAGGCTTTGTTTGGAGTTCATGTGGAGCCGCTAATCGCACGCTCATGTCTGAATACTGCAAATAAATGGCAAAGGATACGCTCAAGAAAGATCTATCTCAAGAGTTGACAAGTCAATGGAAGATTTTTGCAATTTTTTTTATTTGCAAAAATAGCACAGACAAATATCCGAAGAATTTCACCAACGTAAACAATTTTTTTTTTCATACATAAGTAAAACCATGAAATTGTAATTAGACTGACATTTTTCTCTCAACATCTAAACAAAAAAAAATTAAAGGATCTCGGATGACTGATGACCTGAGATCGTATAAAAAAAAATCGCTGTTAATCTGCCTTGAACTACATTCCAATTTACATTGAGTTCTAATTCCTAATAGCAATGTTTTGGTGTTTATAAAGTTTTATAAATAGAAGAAAAAGTGCTATCTTCGAAGGAGGAAGAAAGCTTTGCCAAAATCTCATCACTCTTTTGGCTTTTGCATCAGGAAATTCGACAACAACAAAATTATGTTTACCACGAAAGCAAATTTTTCAGGCGATAAAATCAACACGACAACTGTAAAAATTCCGTATTGCTTGAATTTTTCACCGAGTGCAATTGAAATTTCCTGCAAACTCACTTGAAATTGCTGTCCGACATTCGGGGCGTGCTCGATGGGCTCCAGAAGCGACGTGGCTGTGGATTTGAAGTGCTTCGTGATCTTGATGTTGGACTCTTCATCCTGATTGGCAAAGGCCGCAGCGGGTCGTGCGGCATTTGAGGAACAGAGTCGCAACTGTTGTTGCAGAAATTGGCACAATTTGTGTTGATTCTCAAGTACCCGGCGACACAAGTGCTGTGAATAGATCATTAGCGAATAGTTAATGGGCGAGACCTAACACCAAGAAATGCACGCGCGGCAGCTGATCGGAGACAACCAATTTGTTTATATGCCCGCAAATAGTTTTGTTTATCGCCTTTATGCACAGGGGAGGCGACACTATCACGTCAATTGCTGTGTGGAGCAGGAAAGTGCTACTGTTGTATCACTGAAAGGAGTTTGCATCAGAGCGCGCGCAAGGTTATAGGAAAAAATCAATTTGAGCGAATAACAAGAGTGGCTGCAGCAAGACAGATGCGAGGCATGTGCAATTGCCTGATAATCACGTCAACTATTTATCACAGATCGCACTTGTTGACGACCTTCAATACCTATCATAACATGTTACTCGGCGACTAAGGGATTTTTTTCTTCCTTTGACGCACTTGGAAGATTGACGAATTCCGTTGGTTTTTTTTATTGCTGCAAAATGATCTTGCTGGAGAATATTCTCGATCACTCTCGCGAAGTTTCTAGCTCTTGAGGTCTTTTACTGACAATTTTCTGATGAAACGTCCAGAGAACTTTACATTTGTGGAGTTTGACTGAAAATCAGTGATCTTAGACCATTTCAGATAGTCTTCGTGGGTAAAAGAAATGGCTGGTCAATGGCGATCGAAAGGAAAATGAGGGGAAATGGGCCATGATCTTGAAAAGGTCTCACCAAGAAGCCACAAATAGTCCATGTAGGTATATTTTGAGACCGAGTGTCTCCGTCCAAATAAAGTTGTTGCCATTTCTTTGCCAACAATGTGCGTACATTACATGTAAGTCACGAGAGTGTGTAAAAATAGTCTCGGGTGGTTGTAATGCGATTGAAAATAGGTGCGCAAAAATTGATTGTGTCGCACTTTGAGGGTACAGGAAAATCGCGAAATAATTGATTGGGTCGTATTTGAAATGGTGATTTCTGAACGTAGTCTAGCAGCTCATTAAGAATTCCCTACTTGTTCAATTAAATGGCATATTTGCATGTCTTGACGCGCTCGATATTAGTATTTTCTCCAGAAGTTAATTTCGCACTTTTGCCGCGTGGCCATTGACTGATCGCACGTGGAATGTTATGCAAGTATTTGGGCAATATCTCACCTTGCTTCTAATGACCATCTTTAGAGGCGTTTTCTGGTATATACTTTGCACTAAAATTGTTGTCTTGAGAGACACAGATTATCACAGAACTTGGTTTTTGGGCTTAGATATGAAATCACAGTCTCTGTTCTGAATCTACTCAACTTCTTCGTGTTTCTTCGTGAATAAGATCTCTCTCTCTCTCAAATATATTGCCTAGAGTCTCTCACTCTCCACACTCTGAGGCACTAGCGGTAACTGGGGAGAAGTGTGCTTTTCCTGTCTCTTCTGCCACAGTTTTATTTAATGTCTTGCGCGCAGAAATGTCTCTGTGTCACGATGTGTGATAAATTGAAGAGTTTTCAGAATTGATATATTCTCTCCTGTAGCTTGATCAGAAATAACTTTTCGCGTTTAGGAGATCCTACTCGGAGCACAAACTTCTGCAGACTGAAATGTAGGAGCGACTGCGAGTGATTTTAACTCAGAGTCAGTGGCTGACCACACTTTGAGCCTCAACACGTTAATATGTGGGCACTTCATTCGACACTTTGCCTGTCGTTACGCCGGGCTTGTGTCTGTATTTTGCAATTTATTGCTATCTCAAGCGACGAGGCGAATTCAAATGATAGGCGATAGTGCTAATGGTCGGACAAATACACGGAAACATCACACGAAAATTCCTCCACAGACATCATCTGGGAATTGATGCAGATGAGGGTGTGAGACACACCGAAAAAAGAAGGAAAGAGAGCCAAGTCTCGCCCAGAGGATGATCAAGAGAATGAAAAAGAGTTCAATCTGTACAGCCCAGTCCGTTAATAAATCCTTCTATTATGCTCAATTGTATTGGAATTTTTCCATTTAGTCATATTGCGAGAAGTATGCAGATTAGATGGTTCCGAAAATAAAATCTCTTTCGTTCGCACATGACCTTGTCCGTTTGCTTTTTTGGATTTCACATGGAAGATTTTTTTGCTCTCATCGCGACCCAAGAGAGCATATTTATAGATAGTGAGAGCTTTTACCCGGCGCCTCCATCGCGCACGAGATCGCGAATCTCGCGAGTCATCAAGAGGCAATTAACTAAGTTTAGCGAGTGAAGAAGTCCATCTTCTCTAAAAACTTCTTCATCGCTCTTGCCACTGAAGGCGGGAAAAGTCTTATTGGAAAATCACAGAATATCTTGACTGGAATCTCTAAAGAAATCAGTTGACTGAGAGAAGCATTTAAATATGAGACACACAACGCAGCAAAGTGCACATAGGATGTAATGAGACTGAAGAAGTGGTCATTCAGAGGTTTACAATGTGCGTGGGATTGAGTCTATCAGGTGTTTCTCCGAAAAGCTGCTCCAGGCTCAATTATTAACAAGATTCCTAACATATTGCTCTACATATTATTCAGACAATACTAATCTTGAAACTTTTTACGCTGAACTCAGCAATTTGAAACTGTACAAACAACGACAATTGCAGTCTTTAATGATTTTCTGTCTATTTTGCAGAAAATTGACCCAAAAGATTTGAATTGCTGCTGAACTTCAGCCGACAAAAAAACAATTCTTTGCAATCTACATTTGCATAAACATGAAAATTTAAAATCTATTCCTGAAGTAGTAAAAAAAATCCCCATTTTATCAAAAAAACTTTCAGTGCTTTCGCATTTCACAATTGTCTAACAGAGCGATAAGACTGTTTTGCACTGCAGTAGTGCTGTGCCCCCCCTTTGAGGCGCTATGAATTTCCTGCGCGTCATAGGAAAGATTGAAAATATCTAGCGTGAAAGACTTAGTGATCTCACATGACTTGAAAAGTGTGATTTTAATCCTTTCATAATTACCTCCATTTATCTCCCTGATAGTACCCATGAGGAATTCTTTGTTCTCACTCACTTTTGGCTTCGCGAGTGTCGAAGAAATCAATGACACGTTTTCCGTCTCTTTTCCGTTGTGAGTACAACGATGCGATCGGTATGCGCGTCTTCGCATTTCCCTCATTAGTCGAATCGCGCAGAAATTTCTCATCAAGGGTCACATGTCGTCACAATTGGATGTTTGCTGCTCGAGGCGATTCTGGCGAAAAATAAAATACGAGGATGAACGTGGCAGAATCGTACGATTTTGTTGATATGATAGTGGCTAAATCGCAGCGCAGTGAAAAGAACGTAAATAAAACACTTAAACTCTCTCACTCTCGCGAGCAGATTTAGTCCAAGTATAGTAAATGCGTACATGTTGGAGGAAAAATGTGATCAATATTTTTTCGCCATGTACTTGAGGCTGAACCTTGGCGGGGGCTCTTGCAGATATTTGGCCAAACAACGTCACAGCGGGAGTGATATGAAATTCAGAGGCTCGTCAATTGGGATAAGAACGCACGCGTTTCCGCTCAACGCAGCTTTTGTGCGAAGGTTGAGCTGAAATTTTCCTAGTCACCCAATTGAATTAATATTTGAGCTTGTGGAGATCTCATTTCTCTGATGCCTTGTCTCTCACTCTCACCCAAACACCGGCACGGCAAATTGAATTAGCGTTCTGGTAGATGATGAATTGTGCCTTCGCGACGAGCCCAAAATTCTCCACCAATCGCCATGTGAGGCTGAAGCTGCTCTTGTGAAAAACAAAACAATCAGCACAGATAATTATACGTTGGGAGACGCAGTTGGATAAAAATAAATATGCCAACACTGCAGGATCGACGCACTACAACTATCGTTGATAGTGAGTCAATGGTGCTGAAGGTTTAGGCGAATTGAACGAATTATTTCAAGTAGAGATTCTAGAGAAGCAACGCGAAAGTCAATAAAAGTATTAAGAGATGAAGCCCAACAGGAAGATTAAGTCACGTTTTGTAAGTTAAAACCAGCGGAAAATTTCACTCAACTTGATTATGTCAATCAAGAAACGCATAGTTTTTTCAGGGACGTTTTTGCTTTCTAGACTTTTATCAATTTGAGAATAATATTTTCAATACTTTTGTGATCACTACTTTCAATCGGAGTGCCTTGAATGAATATTTGTTCATTTAATGGGGAATCAGTGTCGATCTTACGTAAGATCAATTCATTAGCGACCGGCCTGGGTGATGATCTTGTTATTTCCGATCTTTCAGTTTAGAGTTTGACGAAAATGCACTAAAAGGAATAAAATAACCAGAAGCTGCGCCATGCCAAAGGTCAGAAGTACACGTTCTTCCAGAAATCTGCAATCCAGCATTTTCGCCAGCAGATAAGCGAGTGTTAACATTTCTTTTTCATCTAATCTTGCATTTGACTAATCTATTGATAAAAAATCCATATTGCGACTTTCTTTGTATTCTCCACCATACAGACAAAATTGAGCAGACTCTTTGAGACAAATTCCTGGCCAAGAATCAGAAAGAAAGAACTTTGTTTTGTTGTCAATTACGTGAGGAGTGACCGAAAATATACTTTCTCAACATTTTTAGGGGGTAAAAAACATATTTACTGCTCTAATTTCTCTATCTAACGGCGATGGATCGCCAGTCATATCTCAAAATAGGAATTCCAACGCTACGCTTTCGTGAAAAATGTCACACGTAAAGCACGTAAATATTTTTTGACCGACAATTGACGTCAATTGGGAAGTCTTGTAGGAGGATGGCCAGAAAAGAACGATCAGCAAATAATCAATTTGCGCTTCACAATTGCCAATGCAGAAAATATCGCTTGAATTTGATTGTTTTTCTATGCATTCATTCACTCAATTACATGCCAGACGATGATGCAATGATATAATTAGATTTCCGATTAATTGACACTGCGTCTGTGATGGAGGTTTTTCCCAGTTTGGGTGGAAAATGTCTGAGGACGTCGAGCTGTGATTTGTGCGATAAAACGCAATACTATCTCCTTACGCAATTTCATGTAGGAGTTGCAGATTCAGTGTTTGCCCTACAAATTGTCTAATCAACCAAAATGTACACGAAGTGCGAGCATGATACAAGATCATTAACTCATTATTTGGTTTGCATATCATCGAAGTAATGTTGATATTGAGGCAGGAATCAATAAATGATGGGAATGGCCTTTAGATTACCTTCGATGTATTTTGGCAAGAGTCCCAAAAGATAATAAACACTGCGGTGTTAATTTGATAACTTTTGCTTTACTATAATGCATCCAATGATTCTGTAGACACTGAAATTACAATTTTTTTTACACGATTTTTCTTCACTTTCTCTCTGTAAAATGTCCTGTTAAAATGTCCGAAGAGTGGGGAAAACTTAAATGTGATACATGATGTTCATTACGACTATCTACAAACTAAAAAAGAATGACATAAATGTAAACTTTAAATAGCGTACGAGTTATCCTCAATAAATTGTGTCATTAGAGCTTTCCTTCATTCTTTCAGTACATTAGTCCGAAAAAGAGTGCTTCTCTTCACTTCTAAAAAAGTTAATAATTTATACTTTCTCTTTTAAATTCAATCACATTTGAAATTTTTCACTTCGCCACCGCTAATCGCCTGAAATCCTTCCAACGCGCCACAATCGCACTCTATGGCACTGAGACAGAGTCCAGCTTTACAGCTTCTTCTCCCACACGACGATGTGAGCATCGCTGGAATTGGGCACACGCGGGATGGAGTTGATGGACCCGGACCTCTGCTGCTTCTCGCTGGTGTTGTACCACACATGCCGCCAGTTGATGTAGCCGCGACCGCCGGTCAGCGTGATGATCGTGCGCTTCCCAGCGATCTCCGGAAGCTGCTGAGTCTGCTTCCCGTTCTTCTTGGGTCTCTGCATAGTGGCGGGGATTGCGGGGTGGATTTGGTTGTTTGTCTGAGCTTCCACAGGAGCGACAATTGTGTGAGTTGGCTGATGAATCTCATGATGATCGTGATTCTCCACCGGAATCGGAGTCTCCGTGGCATTTATCTTGCGACTGGCGTTGCTGCTGTTGCGTGAGACACTCTGCAGGCGAACTCCCATGCTCTCCTCACTACCCGATGAGGTGTACATGCTGGAGGAACGAGAGTCCACAGACCAGTTCGAGAGATCCAGTGATCGTGGCCGAGAGACTTTCATGCGCATCCGACGATCGAGGGTGCTGACTTTGATTGGAATTAGCTCAGGATCACTCCTACGCAAGCATTCATAGGATGGATCCATCAGATTTCCCTGACCTTCCTCAGCCTCATAGTCTTCCTTGACGAAAATCAAGCCGCCATACAGTCCGTAAACATCGCAACATCCATGCTCTGATCCATGCAGTGAAGATACATTCGAGTGGGAAGATTGGGAAAAGAATCCGCCTGATCCAAGACCTCTGGGCAGAGTTTGAGACATTCTCATGGACTCACTGGCTTCCTTGAAGCGCTGACGCCTCAACACCACCGGACTATTGGTCAGATGGGCCTTCAATTTGGCTGGGATGACAGAAACTGGAGACTCCGTGGAGAGTTGCTTCTCGATCTTCCGACGTGCCAGCATCACTGGTTGGTGATCAGAATTGTTAGAAGGTGACTCTCGAGATCCACTCTCATTCTCCTGACCCTTGGAAGAGCCACCTTTTCCTGGAGTTCCTTTCAAAGCACTGCCTTTTGGAGCCGGAGGAGTCATCTTCGGAATAAGCGGCAGCAGGAAGGTAATGGGTCCAAAGTGAGCGTGATAAGATATACTGACGCCACCACTGATGATGGGAACACCTTCCAGTCGAGGCAGAGGAATCGTCAGAGCGATCCCCACATTGGTTCCCACCCACAGAAGTCCCTTTGTGGCCATCAGCGCTGTCACAAAGACAGAAGACGAGCTTGATGGCGACTCCTTCTGTGACGAAGTGAGTTTCAGCACATTCGAGGCAATGTTGAGGTCCTGAAGATGCTTGAATGATTCCGTGTGATAGAGACAAATTATGCTAGAATGCTTCAGTGAGATCCACAGTCCAATTCCGCTATGAGCCATAAGATTGACTGATAAACTCCCAGGATGTTGACTATTCTTCACCTCGAAAGTTTTAGTGATTTCTCCCGAATCACTGGATAAGACCCACACTTTCTTTCCACACGCCGCGTAAATGCTCGCATTGATGGGGAGGACACTGGTCACAGGTTCAGACGAGGCCAGAGACACCACTTGAGGTTCAGCCAAATTCCATGATCCTCCGGGGCGTTTCCTGAATATGAGAACGCAGCCACTACTCAATGATACTGCCACGTAGTCTGAATGATGGAGGATCTGGGAAACATTCCCTGGCACTGGACAAGTGGCCACTTGTTCCTCCTGCTCGGGATTGCAGGCGGCGTACACGAGGATCTTCTTGTTATCCGTGCCAATCCACACTGAATCTCCATCCACGATTCCATCACACGACGCGTCCATTTCTCCAGCTCCCAAAGTTCCACGGACAAACTCCATCGCCGTGGCCACAGTGTCCGGGAGATCAAATGCACTCACATCCTTAAGGAGACCCGTCTGCTGAGGATGCTGCACGAGGATGGCAATTCTACTACTCGTGCCGTCTGTCGTGCAGATCCACAGGTAGTTTTGCACCCTGGTTTTCCGCCGTGCCGTCAAGCGAGAGCTCGTGATCGAATAGTAGCATCCGCAGCGCACCTAAAAGGCAAGACAAGTGATAATTAGAATGTGGGAGTATTTTTTTTATTCAGTTCAAGACCACCCCAGCTTTAACCTTTTCGTGTGTGGTTCTGTTTGAATTAGTGGATTGATTTTCGCTGACCCCATTTCGGTTTCCCCTTTTTTGAAGCTTCTTTACGTAACAATTTCGCATGTCATGTTGATTGATCGTAATGATATAATCATAAAATTCATTCGAAAACACTTTTGCAATCATCATGATCTCTTTAGGATCAAGTGGGATCACACGAGATGATCATTTTGGTAAACAATTTAAATATAGACCATGCGGCACTCACTTCGGTTTGATGCTGCGTCTTGTTTATCGACTGAGCCTTGACGAACAGGGGCATTTTCGTTAGGGGTCTCCTCTCGTGGTCAGGCACTTCCCACGAGGGTGAATTGTTGGGATCAAGAGCCAGCTGAGCTAGTCGAAGTTCAGTGATCCACTCTTTCTTCACGGATGGATTCTCCGTCTGGAATGTGAAGGTTTCTTCCTTGCCGGACTTGGATTTCGCCACCAATTGCAGACAACATGAATCCATCCAGGCCATTTCTTCGTCCTTCTTCTGCAAAATCACCAAACAGATGAGAAATGATCAAAAGTGAGGAGTTAATCCCACTTACCTGAATGGATCCCTGGATGTTCTGCATGATCTTTCGTGTGATGTCTGTGCTGATTTCAGAGTAGGAACCTTTGAGAGAGCCAACGAGATCATTGATCCTCGACACAATTTCATAGTCATGCATGAGATTGCTCATTTCGTTGCACAAATTATCTGCGCCATTCGTCGCGGCAGAGCCATCAGGGCCACTCGATTGGCTGGCATTGGATTTGAGACTCCCACCGCGATTCAATCCCGCCGTGAGGATTCTCGACAATGTGGCCGATGTGCTGTTGTCCACGATCTCCACGTCCGCCACAGGAAACATCCACTTGAAGGAGAGCTTCTCAGTGGCCCCAAAGTCCGAACTCTGCTTCGGCGCCACGGATACACAGATCACTTTGTCGTTCAGCAGAAGGAGACGCCTCTGTTTGCTCTTCACGATGAAGCCACACTGGTTGAACTCCAGCTGGGTCACGTTGTCCTCACGCAAGAGACATCGATTCCGGCTGTTGCCATCCGTGGAGAGAGATCGCGTATTGAATGTGCCACTGATGTGGCCCAGCATCTCCTTGAAGGCCTGATATTGCTCCGCCTCGCGCTTCCTTTCATTCAACATCTCAGCCAAGGATTCGAGTTGTGTGAGCGCCAATTGAAGTGCCATTCGGTCTTGATGTCCTTGTGGAGTGTACTTCAACAAGTCCTGAAAGAGAATTCAGTACTTCAGATCTTCCAATGCCATTGAAATCCAAATAAAGCTAGCAATATCTATGAAATGAATGAGTGGAATATTAACACCTCTCTTCATTAAAATAAAACATCTCACGTTGTTTATGCGAGTTCACCTTTGTCAGACCGGCTGTATATAGAACTTGTGGAAAACACAAAGAATATACCTTTGCACCGTGTTCTCGTGGTCTTTTTGCGCTGTTCGCAGACAATTTAGAGAAGCCAAGAAGTGGTCTTTTTGCACTCATAGTGAATTTCCTTATAAGCAAATGGTCGAATGCGGTGATTTGGAAAATTTTTAATACGTCTTACTTGCAGACAAAGAAATCAAAACACCGAAATCTATTAATAGAAACTAGGCGATCAATATAATCGACTTGTTTTGGTGGGTGGAAACTTCAATATGACTCTCAAGTGATGACTTTATACAATAAAAGTTATTGCGATCGCCCAAGGTGATATTTACCTGAAGAAAAAGGATAAATTGGGGAAATCTCTGCACTGGCTTCACCATCAGACCGAAAAAGGATAGTCTGTCGTGAGCGCTGATCTGCTTGACTTTGAAGAAGTCCGCCAGGGCGGACTTCCTCTTCGCCTCCATCTTGGCCAACTCCATGGCGGCCGAGAAGTTGTTGATGAAGCCACTGTAGATGTCCAGAACGATGGGCTTGCTGAAGGCAGCAATGAAGACGTCGCCAATTTTCTCGTCACGATCCCAGTTTCTCACACACTCGGCCATGGCGATCCGGAAAAGGGTATGGCATTGAAGAATTTCAGGTAAACGATAGAAGAGCGTCGATATCTTTGAGCTGCTGAGAATTGGTGGCGAACTCTCATCCAATGGCTTCTTATAATCCTGCAAAGACGCCCCAGAATAAGCTCATTAGACCGTCGGATCTCTGCTCACGCAAGCACAGGTGATTCACAACATCTCTTGCCATATGGTTAAATGGTAAGTTTCTTACATTATCACCAGGTTAATTGGATTAGTAATGCGAATGCAGGGTGGGGTGAGAAATGTTATGCTGATGCTTATGACAGTGAAGGGGAGGTGTTAAATGTGATGCTGCCAGTGAGAGAGAGAGAGAGCAAAATGACTTCAAATTAACAAAATGATAAAGTAAAGGCATATTCACGTCACATCTACAGTGTGCAATAATAAAAGAAAATAAATTAAAATCTCACATTGACTAGACGTTGAAGTGTTCCGATATAAGAATTCTCACTGTGACAGATTGAGGCGACAATTAGTCGCCGTTTAAGTTGTTCCTGAGACAAACCTGCGGGCGCTGGGGGTAAAGTTGGTGGCAACTGCCTGCCCACAATCCCACTACGAGTGGTGAGGGAGAGGAGGGAGCCGTTGCTCCGGCTGCCCATTAAGTTGCTCAAGCCGAAAGGCGAGTCTTCCTCACTCTGCAAAGAAGCGCAAATTTAATTTCAGTATCTCAATTGTGTGAGACATTTTTCAGATTGCAAGGAATGCTTAGTCTGTAAATTGATTTTGCACAATAATTGGGTTATCCAAAGAGAAATCCTTTTAACCCAAATTGAAATCGATTCACAAGTAATGCAATCAATTAAGGTCAAATTCATGCGCTTATTACAGACAAAATGGAAACCAACTTCGGACAATTGGGGCATCTTCCCAGTGGTCGAGGGCGTGCGACTGGCACTGGATTGGGTGGGTGTTTGCTGGGCAGAGTTATCGGTCGAGTCACCGCCGGAATCCTTCCCGCTGATGTCGTACTGATGTGATGATCCGCGCCGGATGGAGAACCAGCGCGACAAGCGTCCTCCGGGACTCTCGCCGGGGGTCGTGGACTCGGGCTGCGGCGCTGTGGGCATGGAGGCGCTGCTGCTGGAGCGCCATTTGTCGAAGGACAGATGGTGGCGCGCCTTGTTGAACGTGGACCTCAGCTGACTGTTGCGAGGAGTGACGCTGGACGTGGCACTCCGATCACTCTCGTCCTCGTCATCCGAGGAGAGACATCGCTCTGATCCCGCTCCCTCGGAGCACCAGCTCTCCTCACTGGACACTGTCCGCGCTGATGGGGTGTGCGAGAGATTCCTCTGGTCGTGGGCGGGAGCAAGGGTCGCACCTGGAGGCGATGCCACGCTTCCGCTGTGTCGTGCTGTGGCCATGGCAGCCTTGTTGGCCACGGACAAGGGCAGGGTGTCCTCCCAAGATCCTGAGTTCAGGTTGGGTTCATCTGCAAGAGGAAGAAAACAGGAAAACCATTAGCAATCAATCAATATCACAAGGAATAGAAGGAAATCAATATCAGAGTCTGCAATCAATCTAAAGCATTTTTGTTCCTCCATCGCTCTTGTCGCACAAATTCTAGGGTAAAGTGGAAAATAATGACGAGACCCATTTAAAATGTCATGCCCATTAAAAAGGAATCGAGGGTGGATCGATTAATTGGGGAAAATCAATTAAATTGCCATCTCCATGCGTCTTCGGTAAATAAAATATCACCGTGAAGAAAATACACCTCATTCCTCGAAATTGATCCCATTATATAAACATCCTCCAAAAATTCAATTAATTTCCTACACGCAATTTCTTCTCCCGAAACTCTTTCTCCATCATCAGAAAAAATAATCATGGCAGCATCCGTAGAGAGACTATTTTTACTCCGCACTTTGATTGTGGAAAATTCGCTGAATGCCCCCGAACTCGGCACAAGAGGAAAATAGTCTCTGTGGGGCATTTCTGCAGTAAATCATCCCAACATTACTCCACCCAGTCATATTCTGAGAGATTTCCTTCACTGTGAAATGCATTAAAATATATATATGATGGGAAATGCAATGGATCAAGTGGAGGCGCCTAGTGAGGGATATTTTGCGCTGCAGCATGAAAATTGTTGAATTAATTCACATGAGAAACGCAAATGAATGGCATATATAGGGTTGTAAATTTAATTGTTTTATGGTTTTAAATTATATTTCCTCTATTAAATATTTCCTCACGAATTTACGGCTTTCCAGACATTGCCATCATTTTATAGGGTTTCAATTTTAGACCGCATATGTTGTGAAGCAATTAAGCGTTGTAAGAAGTAAAATATAATATGTAAGCCTGAAAATTTTGGAAAAAACAAACTTTGTAAAGGTCAACTTGGGTTCTCAAACTCCTAAATTGTGAGATATCTAAAGTAGAGGATTGTGCTCATAAAATACCCACAGAATATTCATCAATGTCTAATGTTTTCCTCATATTCACAGTAATGTTTTATGGCGCGATAACTGGTCTTGCACGCGCCTGTTAAAGGCATTACACTAAATTTTAAAAGCTCCCATGAAAAAAGTGCATGGTAATCTGGATGAACCAATTATAGGCAAAGTGCCTGTAAAATTCAAAAAGGAAAATTTATGTATATATCGAAAAGGTCACCCAAAATGCGGGATATTTATAGAAAAACAGACACAGAAAGAAAGGGAAGATGATTTCCTGCCTGAAAAAACCTCTCCCTAATTTCAAAATTTATGTCTCAGACCACTTCACAAAACCCAGTTCCGGATCGCTTAACTCAGAGAAATTATCACTTTCCTCCAAATCTTCTCTTTATCTCCGGCGATCGCACCTCTTCGACTGTCAGACACTGGCAGTCGAAGAATAAAATATCGGATACTCAAGGTCAATCACATTTCAACACTTGTATTTATGGCTTGTGGGCAAAAATCAATGCGCGATGTCGGAAGGTGTGGATGGAGAGACTGGCGAGCATATATACAAGTGAAATTCTGCCGATCGCGAGCTTCTTCGCGCGTTGTGTTGTTGCTTTCGTTGAGAACAGTGCGCGCGGATTTGTTGGGTGGCAAAGAAAGAGAATTCCACACGGTGTGTGTACCGAAGGAATTATGACTAATGCATTTCGCGAGTCGCCATGCAGTGCAGTTGAAACTGGCTCTGGCCATGTGTGGTGTTACCTCAAAGATATTGAGGGCGTCTCACGAATAAACAGGTTTTTCACATCCAAAATGAAAATAAAGCATGAGGAATATTTTTAGTTCAAGTTCTCACTCCTTCGCCTCACCCATCTTGTCTTGTCTTGTTGAACATGGAAGTGTTGTCAGCTGTTGGTATCATCTTCCCTCAAGATCATACTATACATCCACTACACCCATCACAGACCTTGTACATCGCTCACAATCTATCGGCATTCGAGGGAATACACACTCTCGCTTCATGAATACAAATGATCTTTCTTCTCGACTCCTCTCTCTATCCACACTTTGGCGACTCTGCGGGCTTCTCTTCCCGTCATCTTCCTTCTCCTCTTGCTTTTCGGGATGCACACACACACACACAGTCAGTCGAGGGGCCCATTTCATTGGGCTTTTTTGTCACGATAAGAAGCTGCAGCGCCGAGACAAAGAACACACAATTCCGACTTCTCAGACCAATTTCCTGTCTCGCATTTGTACACACAAAATGCAAATGACAGAGCGATAATTTCCCATTAGCCAGACAATGGTCATCCGTGAATTTGTGGGTGAACTCCGTGGCTCACAAAGTTTATCTTATGGCCCCGCCGATCAAATAAATATTCATCAACTGATCCCTTGTCTTATCCCTCTCTCTTCTTTCTCACTAATTGTGGCGACCAGATGGAGAGGGAATTGAAGTGAATCAAATCTAAATTAGTGTCAATTGCTCAACACTCTGGTGGCCAGAGAAGGGCGTTCACCAGCCAGTTGTTCTCCCCGGGTAGAATTCCACTCTGACTCTGTCACTGTACCTGATATCAGTGGTCGACCAAAAATCTTGGTCCGCACCGTGAGCACAATATCCGTGAAAGAAGTCGTCGCGACGGGTCACTGTTCAATGACGACGAACCAGGAAAGCCACCACTTGGCACACAGTCAAGCACACCTCGAGAAAAGTGGGCAAGAATTTCAAAATCACTCCACGAGACACTTTTCCGTCCACCCAGAAGAAGAAGTAAAATAAAAACTAACACAGAACGATCCCACGAGAAACACCCAGTCGAATTACAGGAGAGCCAGAGCCAGTGTGGCATGTGAATGGTAGCTGGTTCACTGAGCGACTAAGAGGAGTGCTTGTGAATGAAAATAATTGTACACAGTATATCGTTTACGCACTGCAAACCCAACTGACTGTAAAATAATATCCCCAACGCAGATTTGGTGAGCGACAGCACGAGATGGCTATACTGCCATCTGCGCACATCTCACTCCCACCAATGCTAAGTGCCTGCCCACGAGTATTATTAAAGCTGGAGGACACCATGGCTGTTTTCTCGTCTGTCGCAAATTGAATTCTAATTATTCCTCACGAGCTCTGCCAACAGTGCAAATTGATGGAGGGACTTTTTATCTTTGGCCAAATGAATTTTAGTGTGCATACAAACCATCGCAATTTCGCAACGACGAGCAAAAAGGTGTACCGAAAGTTAAACAGATGCCACGCGGTGCCATGTTTGCATTTTGAATTACACTCCAATAAAATCCACTTAACTGACCATTTAATGACCACGATCGCTGGCTAATTGCAGCGAAAACAAGAGAATCATCTTGAGAATATTTCCATCGCGAGATAATAAAGATAGTGCTGATTTAGCGAAATGAGAAGGAGAATTGCAAATGAAGAAATATATCCGTGGGATGACTCCAAATGCCAAGGGGTTAGTCGCGTGCTGAGTCACACAGAAGCAATGCACTGATGAATTGCTAATGTCAAATCGCTCAAGAAATACAATATCAATAAAACATGACAGGCTTGATGTCTCTCTGCATTATATTAGAAAAATGCCTGCGATGGCATTGTGTTTACTCATTGAGCATTAAGAGGAAAGGAATGCATTGAAAATATTCATATTGAAACCTCAAAAGGACATTGATGAGTTAGTATTTCGATATTCTAATTCCACAGCTTAAAGCTTGAAGCTCAGTATTCTCTTTCCTCTGGATTGGAATTGGCCGCAAAAGAGTTGTTGACCCCTCGGATGCATGTGTCCAGTGGTTTGAGCACAGAAACGTAACATGTCTTCTGCAATAAAAGAAACTGTCCACGAAAGTGAGTGCGGATATTGAGAAACTTTTCACTTCGATTCACGCGTGAAAAAACCGGAGCTTCAAATCTGATCTATGGCAGATTTTCTGCCAATATGTATATCAAACAGAAAGTCCAACGCAAAAGGGGAGAAGAGATGTGCGGAGTGGACATTGAGTTGCGGAAAAGTTGCCCACGAGTCACTTGAGAGGTTTCTCGAGTTTAATTTTCATGAAAAGCTATTTTATTACATGGCGTCTTACTTTCAAATCCTGTCCATATTGCATGTAATGCAAGGCAACATTAAAGGGGAAATTGATCATATATGCAAGAAAACATTCAAATTCAATCATCTTGCATTAATCGTCAGTGCGATGTTTGAACAAATTGGCGGTATTTCGTTGTGAATAAATCTATTTAGTTTTATTGATTCAACATGGGAAATATATGGAGAAATTGCCTTTTTGTCTGGCACTGAATCTGTTTTCTTGAATTAATTGAAAGCTACGCCATCGAGTGTGGCAACCACACAGAAGGAATTCACACATTTTATGGTGAATTTTGCCACAATTCATCTCACTATGTGGCCTCATACTCTCTGTCTCCATGTGCCATGTTACGTTGAATTTATAAATATCATTTTTCTTCCCAGTTGCCGCGGTGACTGGAAGAAGGGCAGTGTCCTATTAATTGTTTATACACATCATTTTTTCAAGTCATAAAAGGCGCACACACATGATCAAAACCAGAACCGCGCTTCTCTCGTTGGGAGCCGAGAGAGCACCACCAACTTAGGTGCAGAGAGTACATCAATGAAGAATAAACGTGGTTTATGTAAGAGATATGCGCTCATGTTTTCGGAGATAAACTGCCTATACGAGTCGCTCAGATACACTCGAGGGCATTATTATTGATGCAAGAAGTATCGCCAAGTCGCGTGAGATTCACTTTTCAGCACGTTGGAAGTCGCATGAAACCCACTTTCCTTTCCTACCGCGATTCTGTATAATTTGCCGCGCTGTTCCTGTTGGATGACTTTTTCCTTTTTCACTGCCGTATTCCTATAGGAAGAGATCGGATTAGAAGACTTCAGATCGTGCAGTCATCGCGCTTGACTCATTCAATCTTCTGCTTGAATTCTACATCATTAAGTTTCGATCTGCCAGACTTAATTCTTCTTACGTGAGT